GGGGGGGTCTAGCCTGCGAGCAAGGTCTCTTGCTGCCGGGATTGGGGGAGGGTTGGGTGGGGTGGGGCAGTGAGAGACCTTGCTCGCAGGTTAGACCCGGGGAGGGTTTTGCTGCTCAGCAAAATTTTTTTTCTTCTTACTTTTATAAAATTCTTGACTCAAAAAAAGCACTTTTAGAAAAGGATGCATTCACGTAAGAAAAAAACGGGAAAAAAAGGACGTGTGCGAAGAAACAAGCGAAATTTATGATTAAACATTTGTCATTACTTAGGATCAACTTCTCCACACTTTTTCCCACATTCAACTTCGCGAGTTAGTCTACTTATAATACGTTCCTTTTCTTTAATGCAGTGGATAAACAGACCATGAAGTTCCAAACTGCTCTTCGTCTGAAGTTGGAGAATTTTCTTTATTGGTCATGGACCTTGGGGACATTTAACAGCCTGATTTTAAGACTGGATTGAAATAGCTTGAATTACGTAACCTTGCCTGCGAAAGAAACACCACCTGATGGAATTACTAATCGTCAATAGGCCGGGCAAACAATGTTTGTTTGGTTCATCCTGTCAAGTGACTTTTGGGTCAAGTTGGAAACTGATGGAGATCTCCTGAAATGTCCCTGGGACTCTTGTGATGTCTCAAGTAAGAGGATGTAAGTATATTTCATTCTGGAAAAAAAAGTCTTTTAGCTGCCTTAGGACACGAAGGATATCACCTTGTTTTGATCCTTCAGGCTGATTTCACGATTCTATCACAAGTTTTCGGTCGCATCGGTAGCATTTTAGTATGATTTACCGTGCTTACCAGATTCAGACTAGTGTTCTGTAGTTGCCTAGTTAGAGAAGAACGCTTTTTCTTGTTGTCGAAGGGTCACACTGCTGGCTGCAAATCTATTAAATACGTCTCTTACTGGAATCAGACCCTTCAACAATCACAAAAACTCAGTTTTCATTGTACAATCAAAGACGACTATAGCCCCTCGCCGTACCTAGTTTTAACAAGAAAAAACCCTTCGAGAAAAGCATTAGTTATATTTAGAATAAGTAGTCATCAACTTAGAATTGAAACAGGTAGATACGAAAAACATTCCTCGCAATGAAAGGATATGTCACTTTTGTACAAGTAACTGCAGCAAAATCGAAGATGAAAATCATTTCTTACTAGATTGTAAGGCTTATTCTCAGATCAGAGACATATTTTTCTCCAAACTAGAAACTAAAATACCTGACTTCAAATCACTTTCACACGATACTTTAATATCTCTTCTTATGAATTCTTCTGATTATTTAATTAACTGTCAATTAGTTTCATTTATCTCGCAATGCTTTGAATTAAGAACCAAATTAATATCAATGAATGAATGAACGAGAACTGTAACGTTTTGTAATGTTTGGCACGTACTAATTAGTTGAATTAGTACTTAAATCTAGACTAATAGCTCAGTGCAATACTGTAATTCCTTTATGGTCATGCAAATAAAGCTTTTTGGTGTTGTTGTTATTAAAAGTGACATAACCTTCGCGTTTTTCATTTATACGATCACTTTTGCTTGTTGCAGGAACGCTTGTAAATGGCGTGAGATTAACATGCACATTCTCCATACTCATTCCTTTACCGTTCATCTGGCGCTAACGAGGAGAATTTGATTAGAAATCATAATGTTTTTCGCTGCTGAGCAGTTTCCTCTATTTTCAGTCTTTTATGATTGATACTGTTCAGTGGTGGGATATATAGCGAGGAATGTAAATTGATGTTGATCACTGTTAACCGTACAAAAACTGTTTCTTGTGATCACCGACTGAAAACGCAAACGCACCGACGGACATTTCAAGTATTTCAATATTATACAAAACTTCCAGCTAAAATCAAAATTGCCCGTCGGAAAACGTGAAAGCGCTAAGTGCTTTTTAAATGTACGAGTGGTCAGAAAGATACAAGAATCCTGATTAAAAAGAAACTTTCGCAAAGCCGAGAAGGCTACAGTTTCCATTATGTTTGGTAAACTTTGGTTTGTTTTGGTTCTTGGACCTGTGGGACCTCAGGGACCTCTGGGCCGAAGGTTCATGATGTCATTATTTTCAACAGCCAATCAGGGGCAAGAATTTGATTTGCATATGAATAACATACCAAAAAACCATTGAATTTGTAACCAAGCCGGGATAGCGCAATTGGCATAAGCATTGAATTGGTAATTAACTGGCAAACAAAGAGGTGACGGGTTCGAATCCCGCCTGATTAGCATAAAAAAGGGAAAAAAAAGAATAAAATCGCGGCTTGGATCTGGGAGGGCTTGGGGCGAGGAGAGGGAAGAAAAAAGGCCTTGGGAAGGGTATGGGAAGCGGGAGTTGGTACACACCGGCCCGGGGGCGGGCCGGGGGGGGCAGGGGGGGGGGCAGGCGAGAGGGGGGTAGATAGGTAGAGGGGTAGTAGATAGATAGATAGATAGATAGATAGATAGATAGATAGATAGATAGATAGATAGATAGATAGATAGATAGATAGATAGGTAGAGGGGCAGGTAGAGGGGGGTAGGTAGATAGGTAGAGGGCGGAGGGTTGGGAGGGGGAAGGGAAGGGAAGGGAAGGGGAAAGGGAGGGGGGGGCTAGCCTGCGAGCAAGGTCTCTTGCTGCCGGGATTGGGGGGAGGGTTGGGTGGGGTGGGGCAGTGAGAGACCTTGCTCGCAGGTTAGACCCGGGGAGGGTTTTGCTGCTCAGCAAAATTTTTTTTCTTCTTACTTTTATAAAATTCTTGACTCAAAAAAAGCACTTTTAGAAAAGGATGCATTCACGTAAGAAAAAAACGGGAAAAAAAGGACGTGTGCGAAGAAACAAGCGAAATTTATGATTAAACATTTGTCATTACTTAGGATCAACTTCTCCACACTTTTTCCCACATTCAACTTCGCGAGTTAGTCTACTTATAATACGTTCCTTTTCTTTAATGCAGTGGATAAACAGACCATGAAGTTCCAAACTGCTCTTCGTCTGAAGTTGGAGAATTTTCTTTATTGGTCATGGACCTTGGGGACATTTAACAGCCTGATTTTAAGACTGGATTGGAAATAGCTTGAATTACGTAACCTTGCCTGCGAAAGAAACACCACCTGATGGAATTACTAATCGTCAATAGGCCGGGCAAACAATGTTTGTTTGGTTCATCCTGTCAAGTGACCTTTGGGTCAAGTTGGAAACTGATGGAGATCTCCTGGAAATGTCCCTGGGACTCTTGTGATGTCTCAAGTAAGAGGATGTAAGTATATTTCATTCTGGAAAAAAAGTCTTTTAGCTGCCTTAGGACACGAAGGATATCACCTTGTTTTGATCCTTCAGGCTGATTTCACGATTCTATCACAAGTTTTCGGTCGCATCGGTAGCATTTTAGTATGATTTACCGTGCTTACCAGATTCAGACTAGTGTTCTGTAGTTGCCTAGTTAGAGAAGAACGCTTTTTCTTGTTGTCGAAGGGTCACACTGCTGGCTGCAAATCTATTAAATACGTCTCTTACTGGAATCAGACCCTTCAACAATCACAAAAACTCAGTTTTCATTGTACAATCAAAGACGACTATAGCCCCTCGCCGTACCTAGTTTTAACAAGAAAAAACCCTTCGAGAAAAGCATTAGTTATATTTAGAATAAGTAGTCATCAACTTAGAATTGAAACAGGTAGATACGAAAACATTCCTCGCAATGAAAGGATATGTCACTTTTGTACAAGTAACTGCAGCAAAATCGAAGATGAAAATCATTTCTTACTAGATTGTAAGGCTTATTCTCAGATCAGAGACATATTTTTCTCCAAACTAGAAACTAAAATACCTGACTTCAAATCACTTTCACACGATACTTTAATATCTCTTCTTATGAATTCTTCTGATTATTTAATTAACTGTCAATTAGTTTCATTTATCTCGCAATGCTTTGAATTAAGAACCAAATTAATATCAATGAATGAATGAACGAGAACTGTAACGTTTTGTAATGTTTGGCACGTACTAATTAGTTGAATTAGTACTTAAATCTAGACTAATAGCTCAGTGCAATACTGTAATTCCTTTATGGTCATGCAAATAAAGCTTTTGGTGTTGTTGTTATTAAAAGTGACATAACCTTCGCGTTTTTCATTTATACGATCACTTTTGCTTGTTGCAGGAACGCTTGTAAATGGCGTGAGATTAACATGCACATTCTCCATACTCATTCCTTTACCGTTCATCTGGCGCTAACGAGGAGAATTTGATTAGAAATCATAATGTTTTTCGCTGCTGAGCAGTTTCCTCTATTTTCAGCCTTTTATGATTGATACTGTTCAGTGGTGGGATATATAGCGAGGAATGTAAATTGATGTTGATCACTGTTAACCGTACAAAAACTGTTTCTTGTGATCACCGACTGAAAAACAAACGCACCGACGGACATTTCAAGTATTTCAATATTATACAAAACTTCCAGCTAAAATCAAAATTGCCCGTCGGAAAAACGTGAAAGCGCTAAGTGCTTTTTTAAATGTACGAGTGGTCAGAAAGATACAAGAATCCTGATTAAAAAGAAACTTTCGCAAAGCCGAGAAGGCTACAGTTTCCATTATGTTTGGTAAACTTTGGTTTGTTTTGGTTCTTGGACCTGTGGGACCTCAGGGACCTCTGGGCCGAAGGTTCATGATGTCATTATTTTCAACAGCCAATCAGGGGCAAGAATTTGATTTGCATATGAATAACATACCAAAAACCATTGAATTTGTAACCAAGCCGGGATAGCGCAATTGGCATAAGCATTGAATTGGTAATTAACTGGCAAACAAAGAGGTGACGGGTTCGAATCCCGCCTGATTAGCATAAAAAGGGAAAAAAAAAAAGAATAAAATCGCGGCTTGGATCTGGGAGGGCTTGGGGCGAGGAGAGGGAAGAAAAAGGCCTTGGGAAGGGTATGGGAAGCGGGAGTTGGTACACCGGCCCGGGGCGGGCCGGGGGGGGGCAGGGAGAGGGGCAGGCGGGAGGGAAGTAGGTAGATAGGTAGAGGGGTAGATAGATAGATAGATAGATAGATAGATAGATAGATAGATAGATAGATAGATAGATAGATAGATAGATAGATAGATAGATAGATAGATAGATAGATAGATAGAGGGGGGTAGGGGGGTAGGTAGATAGGTAGAGGGCGGAGGGTTGGGAGGGGGAAGGGAAGGGAAGGGAAGGGGAAAGGGAGGGGGGGTCTAGCCTGCGAGCAAGGTCTCTTGCTGCCGGGATTGGGGGGAGGGTTGGGTGGGGTGGGGCAGTGAGAGACCTTGCTCGCAGGTTAGACCCGGGGAGGGTTTTGCTGCTCAGCAAAATTTTTTTTCTTCTTACTTTTATAAAATTCTTGACTCAAAAAAAGCACTTTTAGAAAAGGATGCATTCACGTAAGAAAAAAACGGGAAAAAAAGGACGTGTGCGAAGAAACAAGCGAAATTTATGATTAAACATTTGTCATTACTTAGGATCAACTTCTCCACACTTTTTCGCACATTCAACTTCGCGAGTTAGTCTACTTATAATACGTTCCTTTTCTTTAATGCAGTGGATAAACAGACCATGAAGTTCCAAACTGCTCTTCGTCTGAAGTTGGAGAATTTTCTTTATTGGTCATGGACCTTGGGGACATTTGACAGCCTGATTTTAAGACTGGATTGGAAATAGCTTGAATTACGTAACCTTGCCTGCGAAAGAAACACCACCTGATGGAATTACTAATCGTCAATAGGCCGGGCAAACAATGTTTGTTTGGTTCATCCTGTCAAGTGACTTTTGGGTCAAGTTGGAAACTGATGGAGATCTCCTGGGAAATGTCCCTGGGACTCTTGTGATGTCTCAAGTAAGAGGATGTAAGTATATTTCATTCTGGAAAAAAGTCTTTTAGCTGCCTTAGGACACGAAGGATATCACCTTGTTTTGATCCTTCAGGCTGATTTCACGATTCTATCACAAGTTTTCGGTCGCATCGGTAGCATTTTAGTATGATTTACCGTGCTTACCAGATTCAGACTAGTGTTCTGTAGTTGCCTAGTTAGAGAAGAACGCTTTTTCTTGTTGTCGAAGGGTCACACTGCTGGCTGCAAATCTATTAAATACGTCTCTTACTGGAATCAGACCCTTCAACAATCACAAAAACTCAGTTTTCATTGTACAATCAAAGACGACTATAGCCCCTCGCCGTACCTAGTTTTAACAAGAAAAAACCCTTCGAGAAAAGCATTAGTTATATTTAGAATAAGTAGTCATCAACTTAGAATTGAAACAGGTAGATACGAAAACATTCCTCGCAATGAAAGGATATGTCACTTTTGTACAAGTAACTGCAGCAAAATCGAAGATGAAAATCATTTCTTACTAGATTGTAAGGCTTATTCTCAGATCAGAGACATATTTTTCTCCAAACTAGAAACTAAAATACCTGACTTCAAATCACTTTCACACGATACTTTAATATCTCTTCTTATGAATTCTTCTGATTATTTAATTAACTGTCAATTAGTTTCATTTATCTCGCAATGCTTTGAATTAAGAACCAAATTAATATCAATGAATGAATGAACGAGAACTGTAACGTTTTGTAATGTTTGGCACGTACTAATTAGTTGAATTAGTACTTAAATCTAGACTAATAGCTCAGTGCAATACTGTAATTCCTTTATGGTCATGCAAATAAAGCTTTTGGTGTTGTTGTTATTAAAAGTGACATAACCTTCGCGTTTTTCATTTATACGATCACTTTTGCTTGTTGCAGGAACGCTTGTAAATGGCGTGAGATTAACATGCACATTCTCCATACTCATTCCTTTACCGTTCATCTGGCGCTAACGAGGAGAATTTGATTAGAAATCATAATGTTTTTTTCGCTGCTGAGCAGTTTCCTCTATTTTCAGCCTTTTATGATTGATACTGTTCAGTGGTGGGATATATAGCGAGGAATGTAAATTGATGTTGATCACTGTTAACCGTACAAAAACTGTTTCTTGTGATCACCGACTGAAAACGCAAACGCACCGACGGACATTTCAAGTATTTCAATATTATACAAAACTTCCAGCTAAAATCAAAATTGCCCGTCGGAAAAACGTGAAAGCGCTAAGTGCTTTTTTAAATGTACGAGTGGTCAGAAAGATACAAGAATCCTGATTAAAAAGAAACTTTCGCAAAGCCGAGAAGGCTACAGTTTCCATTATGTTTGGTAAACTTTGGTTTGTTTTGGTTCTTGGACCTGTGGGACCTCAGGGACCTCTGGGCCGAAGGTTCATGATGTCATTATTTTCAACAGCCAATCAGGGGCAAGAATTTGATTTGCATATGAATAACATACCAAAAAACCATTGAATTTGTAACCAAGCCGGGATAGCGCAATTGGCATAAGCATTGAATTGGTAATTAACTGGCAAACAAAGAGGTGACGGGTTCGAATCCCGCCTGATTAGCATAAAAAAAAAAAAAAAAAAAAGAATAAAATCGCGGCTTGGATCTGGGAGGGCTTGGGGCGAGGAGAGGGAAGAAAAAAGGCCTTGGGAAGGGTATGGGAAGCGGGAGTTGGTACACCGGCCCGGGGGCGGGCCGGGGGGAGGGCAGGGAGAGGGGGCAGGCGGGAGGGAAGTAGGTAGATAGGTAGAGGGGTAGATAGATAGATAGATAGATAGATAGATAGATAGATAGATAGATAGATAGATAGATAGATAGATAGATAGATAGATAGATAGATAGATAGATAGGTAGGTAGGGGGTAGGTAGGGTAGATAGGGTAGAGGGCGGAGGGTTGGGAGGGGAAGGGAAGGGAAGGGAAGGGAAAGGGGGGGGGGTCTAGCCTGCGAGCAAGGTCTCTTGCTGCCGGGATTGGGGGAGGGTTGGGTGGGGTGGGGCAGTGAGAGACCTTGCTCGCAGGTTAGACCCGGGGAGGGTTTTGCTGCTCAGCAAAATTTTTTTTTTTTTTCTTACTTTTATAAAATTCTTGACTCAAAAAAAGCACTTTTAGAAAAGGATGCATTCACGTAAGAAAAAAACGGGAAAAAAGGACGTGTGCGAAGAAACAAGCGAAATTTATGATTAAACATTTGTCATTACTTAGGATCAACTTCTCCACACTTTTTCGCACATTCAACTTCGCGAGTTAGTCTACTTATAATACGTTCCTTTTCTTTAATGCAGTGGATAAACAGACCATGAAGTTCCAAACTGCTCTTCGTCTGAAGTTGGAGAATTTTCTTTATTGGTCATGGACCTTGGGGACATTTGACAGCCTGATTTTAAGACTGGATTGGAAATAGCTTGAATTACGTAACCTTGCCTGCGAAAGAAACACCACCTGATGGAATTACTAATCGTCAATAGGCCGGGCAAACAATGTTTGTTTGGTTCATCCTGTCAAGTGACTTTTGGGTCAAGTTGGAAACTGATGGAGATCTCCTGGAAATGTCCCTGGGACTCTTGTGATGTCTCAAGTAAGAGGATGTAAGTATATTTCATTCTGGAAAAAAAGTCTTTTAGCTGCCTTTAGGACACGAAGGATATCACCTTGTTTTGATCCTTCGGCTGATTTCACGATTCTATCACAAGTTTTCGGTCGCATCGGTAGCATTTTAGTATGATTTACCGTGCTTACCAGATTCAGACTAGTGTTCTGTAGTTGCCTAGTTAGAGAAGAACGCTTTTTCTTGTTGTCGAAGGGTCACACTGCTGGCTGCAAATCTATTAAATACGTCTCTTACTGGAATCAGACCCTTCAACAATCACAAAAACTCAGTTTTCATTGTACAATCAAAGACGACTATAGCCCCTCGCCGTACCTAGTTTTAACAAGAAAAAAAACCTTCGAGAAAAGCATTAGTTATATTTAGAATAAGTAGTCATCAACTTAGAATTGAAACAGGTAGATACGAAAACATTCCTCGCAATGAAAGGATATGTCACTTTTGTACAAGTAACTGCAGCAAAATCGAAGATGAAAATCATTTCTTACTAGATTGTAAGGCTTATTCTCAGATCAGAGACATATTTTTCTCCAAACTAGAAACTAAAATACCTGACTTCAAATCACTTTCACACGATACTTTAATATCTCTTCTTATGAATTCTTCTGATTATTTAATTAACTGTCAATTAGTTTCATTTATCTCGCAATGCTTTGAATTAAGAACCAAATTAATATCAATGAATGAATGAACGAGAACTGTAACGTTTTGTAATGTTTGGCACGTACTAATTAGTTGAATTAGTACTTAAATCTAGACTAATAGCTCAGTGCAATACTGTAATTCCTTTATGGTCATGCAAATAAAGCTTTTGGTGTTGTTGTTATTAAAAGTGACATAACCTTCGCGTTTTTCATTTATACGATCACTTTTGCTTGTTGCAGGAACGCTTGTAAATGGCGTGAGATTAACATGCACATTCTCCATACTCATTCCTTTACCGTTCATCTGGCGCTAACGAGGAGAATTTGATTAGAAATCATAATGTTTTTCGCTGCTGAGCAGTTTCCTCTATTTTCAGCCTTTTATGATTGATACTGTTCAGTGGTGGGATATATAGCGAGGAATGTAAATTGATGTTGATCACTGTTAACCGTACAAAAACTGTTTCTTGTGATCACCGACTGAAAGCAAACGCACCGACGGACATTTCAAGTATTTCAATATTATACAAAACTTCCAGCTAAAATCAAAATTGCCCGTCGGAAAAACGTGAAAGCGCTAAGTGCTTTTTTAAATGTACGAGTGGTCAGAAAGATACAAGAATCCTGATTAAAAAGAAACTTTCGCAAAGCCGAGAAGGCTACAGTTTCCATTATGTTTGGTAAACTTTGGTTTGTTTTGGTTCTTGGACCTGTGGGACCTCAGGGACCTCTGGGCCGAAGGTTCATGATGTCATTATTTTCAACAGCCAATCAGGGGCAAGAATTTGATTTGCATATGAATAACATACCAAAAAACCATTGAATTTGTAACCAAGCCGGGATAGCGCAATTGGCATAAGCATTGAATTGGTAATTAACTGGAAAACAAAGAGGTGACGGGTTCGAATCCCGCCTGATTAGCATAAAAAAGGGAAAAAAAAGAATAAAATCGCGGCTTGGATCTGGGAGGGCTTGGGGCGAGGAGAGGGAAGAAAAAAGGCCTTGGGAAGGGTATGGGAAGCGGGAGTTGGTACACCGGCCCGGGGGCGGGCCGGGGGGAGGGCAGGGAGAGGGGGGCAGGCGGGAGGGAAGTAGGTAGATAGGTAGAGGGGTAGATAGATAGATAGATAGATAGATAGATAGATAGATAGATAGATAGATAGATAGATAGATAGATAGATAGATAGATAGATAGGTAGAGGGGCAGGTAGAGGGGGGTAGGTAGATAGGTAGAGGGCGGAGGGTTGGGAGGGGGAAGGGAAGGGAAGGGAAGGGGAAGGGAGGGGGGGGTCTAGCCTGCGAGCAAGGTCTCTTGCTGCCGGGATTGGGGGAGGGTTGGGTGGGGTGGGGCAGTGAGAGACCTTGCTCGCAGGTTAGACCCGGGGAGGGTTTTGCTGCTCAGCAAAATTTTTTTTCTTCTTACTTTTATAAAATTCTTGACTCAAAAAAAGCACTTTTAGAAAAGGATGCATTCACGTAAGAAAAAAACGGGAAAAAAAGGACGTGTGCGAAGAAACAAGCGAAATTTATGATTAAACATTTGTCATTACTTAGGATCAACTTCTCCACACTTTTTCGCACATTCAACTTCGCGAGTTAGTCTACTTATAATACGTTCCTTTTCTTTAATGCAGTGGATAAACAGACCATGAAGTTCCAAACTGCTCTTCGTCTGAAGTTGGAGAATTTTCTTTATTGGTCATGGACCTTGGGGACATTTGACAGCCTGATTTTAAGACTGGATTGGAAATAGCTTGAATTACGTAACCTTGCCTGCGAAAGAAACACCACCTGATGGAATTACTAATCGTCAATAGGCCGGGCAAACAATGTTTGTTTGGTTCATCCTGTCAAGTGACTTTTGGGTCAAGTTGGAAACTGATGGAGATCTCCTGGAAATGTCCCTGGGACTCTTGTGATGTCTCAAGTAAGAGGATGTAAGTATATTTCATTCTGGAAAAAAAGTCTTTTAGCTGCCTTAGGACACGAAGGATATCACCTTGTTTTGATCCTTCAGGCTGATTTCACGATTCTATCACAAGTTTTCGGTCGCATCGGTAGCATTTTAGTATGATTTACCGTGCTTACCAGATTCAGACTAGTGTTCTGTAGTTGCCTAGTTAGAGAAGAACGCTTTTTCTTGTTGTCGAAGGGTCACACTGCTGGCTGCAAATCTATTAAATACGTCTCTTACTGGAATCAGACCCTTCAACAATCACAAAAACTCAGTTTTCATTGTACAATCAAAGACGACTATAGCCCCTCGCCGTACCTAGTTTTAACAAGAAAAAACCCTTCGAGAAAAGCATTAGTTATATTTAGAATAAGTAGTCATCAACTTAGAATTGAAACAGGTAGATACGAAAACATTCCTCGCAATGAAAGGATATGTCACTTTTGTACAAGTAACTGCAGCAAAATCGAAGATGAAAATCATTTCTTACTAGATTGTAAGGCTTATTCTCAGATCAGAGACATATTTTTCTCCAAACTAGAAACTAAAATACCTGACTTCAAATCACTTTCACACGATACTTTAATATCTCTTCTTATGAATTCTTCTGATTATTTAATTAACTGTCAATTAGTTTCATTTATCTCGCAATGCTTTGAATTAAGAACCAAATTAATATCAATGAATGAATGAACGAGAACTGTAACGTTTTTGTAATGTTTGGCACGTACTAATTAGTTGAATTAGTACTTAAATCTAGACTAATAGCTCAGTGCAATACTGTAATTCCTTTATGGTCATGCAAATAAAGCTTTTGGTGTTGTTGTTATTAAAAGTGACATAACCTTCGCGTTTTTCATTTATACGATCACTTTTGCTTGTTGCAGGAACGCTTGTAAATGGCGTGAGATTAACATGCACATTCTCCATACTCATTCCTTTACCGTTCATCTGCGCGCTAACGAGGAGAATTTGATTAGAAATCATAATGTTTTTCGCTGCTGAGCAGTTTCCTCTATTTTCAGCCTTTTATGATTGATACTGTTCAGTGGTGGGATATATAGCGAGGAATGTAAATTGATGTTGATCACTGTTAACCGTACAAAAACTGTTTCTTGTGATCACCGACTGAAAACGCAAACGCACCGACGGACATTTCAAGTATTTCAATATTATACAAAACTTCCAGCTAAAATCAAAATTGCCCGTCGGAAAAACGTGAAAGCGCTAAGTGCTTTTTAAATGTACGAGTGGTCAGAAAGATACAAGAATCCTGATTAAAAAGAAACTTTCGCAAAGCCGAGAAGGCTACAGTTTCCATTATGTTTGGTAAACTTTGGTTTGTTTTGGTTCTTGGACCTGTGGGACCTCAGGGACCTCTGGGCCGAAGGTTCATGATGTCATTATTTTCAACAGCCAATCAGGGGCAAGAATTTGATTTGCATATGAATAACATACCAAAAAACCATTGAATTTGTAACCAAGCCGGGATAGCGCAATTGGCATAAGCATTGAATTGGTAATTAACTGGCAAACAAAGAGGTGACGGGTTCGAATCCCGCCTGATTAGCAAAAAAAAGGGAAAAAAAAGAATAAAATCGCGGCTTGGATCTGGGAGGGCTTGGGGCGAGGAGAGGGAAGAAAAAAGGCCTTGGGAAGGGTATGGGAAGCGGGAGTTGGTACACCGGCCCGGGGGCGGGCCGGGGGGAGGGCAGGGAGAGGGGGGCAGGCGGGAGGGAAGTAGGTAGATAGGTAGAGGGGTAGATAGATAGATAGATAGATAGATAGATAGATAGATAGATAGATAGATAGATAGATAGATAGATAGATAGATAGATAGATAGATAGATAGGTAGGGGAGGGCAGGTAGGGGGGGTAGGTAGATAGGTAGAGGGCGGAGGGTTGGGAGGGGAAGGGAAGGGAAGGGAAGGGGAAAGGGAGGGGGTCTAGCCTGCGAGCAAGGTCTCTTGCTGCCGGGATTGGGGGGGGGGGTGGGGGGGGGGGGGGCAGTGAGAGACCTTGCTCGCAGGTTAGACCCGGGGAGGGTTTTGCTGCTCAGCAAAATTTTTTTTCTTCTTACTTTTATAAAATTCTTGACTCAAAAAAAGCACTTTTAGAAAAGGATGCATTCACGTAAGAAAAAAACGGGAAAAAAAGGACGTGTGCGAAGAAACAAGCGAAATTTATGATTAAACATTTGTCATTACTTAGGATCAACTTCTCCACACTTTTTCGCACATTCAACTTCGCGAGTTAGTCTACTTATAATACGTTCCTTTTCTTTAATGCAGTGGATAAACAGACCATGAAGTTCCAAACTGCTCTTCGTCTGAAGTTGGAGAATTTTCTTTATTGGTCATGGACCTTGGGGACATTTGACAGCCTGATTTTAAGACTGGATTGGAAATAGCTTGAATTACGTAACCTTGCCTGCGAAAAAGAAACACCACCTGATGGAATTACTAATCGTCAATAGGCCGGGCAAACAATGTTTGTTTGGTTCATCCTGTCAAGTGACTTTTGGGTCAAGTTGGAAACTGATGGAGATCTCCTGAAATGTCCCTGGGACTCTTGTGATGTCTCAAGTAAGAGGATGTAAGTATATTTCATTCTGGAAAAAAAAAGTCTTTTAGCTGCCTTAGGACACGAAGGATATCACCTTGTTTTGATCCTTCAGGCTGATTTCACGATTCTATCACAAGTTTTCGGTCGCATCGGTAGCATTTTAGTATGATTTACCGTGCTTACCAGATTCAGACTAGTGTTCTGTAGTTGCCTAGTTAGAGAAGAACGCTTTTTCTTGTTGTCGAAGGGTCACACTGCTGGCTGCAAATCTATTAAATACGTCTCTTACTGGAATCAGACCCTTCAACAATCACAAAAACTCAGTTTTCATTGTACAATCAAAGACGACTATAGCCCCTCGCCGTACCTAGTTTTAACAAGAAAAAACCCTTCGAGAAAAGCATTAGTTATATTTAGAATAAGTAGTCATCAACTTAGAATTGAAACAGGTAGATACGAAAACATTCCTCGCAATGAAAGGATATGTCACTTTTGTACAAGTAACTGCAGCAAAATCGAAGATGAAAATCATTTCTTACTAGATTGTAAGGCTTATTCTCAGATCAGAGACATATTTTTCTCCAAACTAGAAACTAAAATACCTGACTTCAAATCACTTTCACACGATACTTTAATATCTCTTCTTATGAATTCTTCTGATTATTTAATTAACTGTCAATTAGTTTCATTTATCTCGCAATGCTTTGAATTAAGAACCAAATTAATATCAATGAATGAATGAACGAGAACTGTAACGTTTTGTAATGTTTGGCACGTACTAATTAGTTGAATTAGTACTTAAATCTAGACTAATAGCTCAGTGCAATACTGTAATTCCTTTATGGTCATGCAAATAAAGCTTTTGGTGTTGTTGTTATTAAAAGTGACATAACCTTCGCGTTTTTCATTTATACGATCACTTTTGCTTGTTGCAGGAACGCTTGTAAATGGCGTGAGATTAACATGCACATTCTCCATACTCATTCCTTTACCGTTCATCTGGCGCTAACGAGGAGAATTTGATTAGAAATCATAATGTTTTTCGCTGCTGAGCAGTTTCCTCTATTTTCAGCCTTTTATGATTGATACTGTTCAGTGGTGGGATATATAGCGAGGAATGTAAATTGATGTTGATCACTGTTAACCGTACAAAAACTGTTTCTTGTGATCACCGACTGAAAGCAAACGCACCGACGGACATTTCAAGTATTTCAATATTATACAAAACTTCCAGCTAAAATCAAAATTGCCCGTCGGAAAAACGTGAAAGCGCTAAGTGCTTTTTTAAATGTACGAGTGGTCAGAAAGATACAAGAATCCTGATTAAAAAGAAACTTTCGCAAAGCCGAGAAGGCTACAGTTTCCATTATGTTTGGTAAACTTTGGTTTGTTTTGGTTCTTGGACCTGTGGGACCTCAGGGACCTCTGGGCCGAAGGTTCATGATGTCATTATTTTCAACAGCCAATCAGGGGCAAGAATTTGATTTGCATATGAATAACATACCAAAAAACCATTGAATTTGTAACCAAGCCGGGATAGCGCAATTGGCATAAGCATTGAATTGGTAATTAACTGGCAAACAAAGAGGTGACGGGTTCGAATCCCGCCTGATTAGCATAAAAAAGGGAAAAAAAAGAATAAAATCGCGGCTTGGATCTGGGAGGGCTTGGGGCGAGGAGAGGGAAGAAAAAAGGCCTTGGGAAGGGTATGGGAAGCGGGAGTTGGTACACCGGCCCGGGGGCGGGCCGGGGGGAGGGCAGGGAGAGGGGGGCAGGCGGGAGGGAAGTAGGTAGATAGGTAGAGGGGTAGATAGATAGATAGATAGATAGATAGATAGATAGATAGATAGATAGATAGATAGATAGATAGATAGATAGATAGATAGATAGATAGATAGGTAGAGGGGCAGGTAGAGGGGGGTAGGTAGATAGGTAGAGGGCGGAGGGTTGGGAGGGGGAAGGGAAGGGAAGGGAAGGGGAAAGGGAGGGGGGGTCTAGCCTGCGAGCAAGGTCTCTTGCTGCCGGGATTGGGGGGAGGGTTGGGTGGGGTGGGGCAGTGAGAGACCTTGCTCGCAGGTTAGACCCGGGGAGGGTTTTGCTGCTCAGCAAAATTTTTTTTCTTCTTACTTTTATAAAATTCTTGACTCAAAAAAAGCACTTTTAGAAAAGGATGCATTCACGTAAGAAAAAAACGGGAAAAAAAGGACGTGTGCGAAGAAACAAGCGAAATTTATGATTAAACATTTGTCATTACTTAGGATCAACTTCTCCACACTTTTTCGCACATTCAACTTCGCGAGTTAGTCTACTTATAATACGTTCCTTTTCTTTAATGCAGTGGATAAACAGACCATGAAGTTCCAAACTGCTCTTCGTCTGAAGTTGGAGAATTTTCTTTATTGGTCATGGACCTTGGGGACATTTGACAGCCTGATTTTAAGACTGGATTGGAAATAGCTTGAATTACGTAACCTTGCCTGCGAAAGAAACACCACCTGATGGAATTACTAATCGTCAATAGGCCGGGCAAACAATGTTTGTTTGGTTCATCCTGTCAAGTGACTTTTGGGTCAAGTTGGAAACTGATGGAGATCTCCTGAAATGTCCCTGGGACTCTTGTGATGTCTCAAGTAAGAGGATGTAAGTATATTTCATTCTGGAAAAAAAAGTCTTTTAGCTGCCTTAGGACACGAAGGATATCACCTTGTTTTGATCCTTCAGGCTGATTTCACGATTCTATCACAAGTTTTCGGTCGCATCGGTAGCATTTTAGTATGATTTACCGTGCTTACCAGATTCAGACTAGTGTTCTGTAGTTGCCTAGTTAGAGAAGAACGCTTTTTCTTGTTGTCGAAGGGTCACACTGCTGGCTGCAAATCTATTAAATACGTCTCTTACTGGAATCAGACCCTTCAACAATCACAAAAACTCAGTTTTCATTGTACAATCAAAGACGACTATAGCCCCTCGCCGTACCTAGTTTTAACAAGAAAAAAAACCCTTCGAGAAAAGCATTAGTTATATTTAGAATAAGTAGTCATCAACTTAGAATTGAAACAGGTAGATACGAAAACATTCCTCGCAATGAAAGGATATGTCACTTTTGTACAAGTAACTGCAGCAAAATCGAAGATGAAAATCATTTCTTACTAGATTGTAAGGCTTATTCTCAGATCAGAGACATATTTTTCTCCAAACTAGAAACTAAAATACCTGACTTCAAATCACTTTCACACGATACTTTAATATCTCTTCTTATGAATTCTTCTGATTATTTAATTAACTGTCAATTAGTTTCATTTATCTCGCAATGCTTTGAATTAAGAACCAAATTAATATCAATGAATGAATGAACGAGAACTGTAACGTTTTGTAACGTTTTGTTTGGCACGTACTAATTAGTTGAATTAGTACTTAAATCTAGACTAATAGCTCAGTGCAATACTGTAATTCCTTTATGGTCATGCAAATAAAGCTTTTGGTGTTGTTGTTATTAAAAGTGACATAACCTTCGCGTTTTTCATTTATACGATCACTTTTGCTTGTTGCAGGAACGCTTGTAAATGGCGTGAGATTAACATGCACATTCTCCATACTCATTCCTTTACCGTTCATCTGGCGCTAACGAGGAGAATTTGATTAGAAATCATAATGTTTTTTTCGCTGCTGAGCAGTTTCCTCTATTTTCAGCCTTTTATGATTGATACTGTTCAGTGGTGGGATATATAGCGAGGAATGTAAATTGATGTTGATCACTGTTAACCGTACAAAAACTGTTTCTTGTGATCACCGACTGAAAGCAAACGCACCGACGGACATTTCAAGTATTTCAATATTATACAAAACTTCCAGCTAAAATCAAAATTGCCCGTCGGAAAAACGTGAAAGCGCTAAGTGCTTTTTTAAATGTACGAGTGGTCAGAAAGATACAAGAATCCTGATTAAAAAGAAACTTTCGCAAAGCCGAGAAGGCTACAGTTTCCATTATGTTTGGTAAACTTTGGTTTGTTTTGGTTCTTGGACCTGTGGGACCTCAGGGACCTCTGGGCCGAAGGTTCATGATGTCATTATTTTCAACAGCCAATCAGGGGCAAGAATTTGATTTGCATATGAATAACATACCAAAAAACCATTGAATTTGTAACCAAGCCGGGATAGCGCAATTGGCATAAGCATTGAATTGGTAATTAACTGGCAAACAAAGAGGTGACGGGTTCGAATCCCGCCTGATTAGCATAAAAAAGGGAAAAAAAAGAATAAAATCGCGGCTTGGATCTGGGAGGGCTTGGGGCGAGGAGAGGGAAGAAAAAAGGCCTTGGGAAGGGTATGGGAAGCGGGAGTTGGTACACCGGCCCGGGGGCGGGCCGGGGGGGGGGGGAGGAGGGGGCAGGCGGAGGGAAGGTAGGTAGATAGGTAGAGGGGTAGATAGATAGATAGATAGATAGATAGATAGATAGATAGATAGATAGATAGATAGATAGATAGATAGATAGATAGATAGATAGATAGATAGATAGGGAGGGGCAGGTAGAGGGGGGGGGGTAGATAGGTAGAGGGCGGAGGGTTGGGAGGGGAAGGAAGGGAAGGGAAGGGGAAGGGGAGGGGGGTCTAGCCTGCGAGCAAGGTCTCTTGCTGCCGGGATTGGGGGAGGGTTGGGTGGGGTGGGGCAGTGAGAGACCTTGCTCGCAGGTTAGACCCGGGGAGGGTTTTGCTGCTCAGCAAAATTTTTTTTTTTTCTTCTTACTTTTATAAAATTCTTGACTCAAAAAAAAAGCACTTTTAGAAAAGGATGCATTCACGTAAGAAAAAAACGGGAAAAAAAGGACGTGTGCGAAGAAACAAGCGAAATTTATGATTAAACATTTGTCATTACTTAGGATCAACTTCTCCACACTTTTTCGCACATTCAACTTCGCGAGTTAGTCTACTTATAATACGTTCCTTTTCTTTAATGCAGTGGATAAACAGACCATGAAGTTCCAAACTGCTCTTCGTCTGAAGTTGGAGAATTTTCTTTATTGGTCATGGACCTTGGGGACATTTGACAGCCTGATTTTAAGACTGGATTGGAAATAGCTTGAATTACGTAACCTTGCCTGCGAAAGAAACACCACCTGATGGAATTACTAATCGTCAATAGGCCGGGCAAACAATGTTTGTTTGGTTCATCCTGTCAAGTGACTTTTGGGTCAAGTTGGAAACTGATGGAGATCTCCTGGAAATGTCCCTGGGACTCTTGTGATGTCTCAAGTAAGAGGATGTAAGTATATTTCATTCTGGAAAAAAAAGTCTTTTAGCTGCCTTAGGACACGAAGGATATCACCTTGTTTTGATCCTTCAGGCTGATTTCACGATTCTATCACAAGTTTTCGGTCGCATCGGTAGCATTTTAGTATGATTTACCGTGCTTACCAGATTCAGACTAGTGTTCTGTAGTTGCCTAGTTAGAGAAGAACGCTTTTTCTTGTTGTCGAAGGGTCACACTGCTGGCTGCAAATCTATTAAATACGTCTCTTACTGGAATCAGACCCTTCAACAATCACAAAAACTCAGTTTTCATTGTACAATCAAAGACGACTATAGCCCCTCGCCGTACCTAGTTTTAACAAGAAAAAAAACCCTTCGAGAAAAGCATTAGTTATATTTAGAATAAGTAGTCATCAACTTAGAATTGAAACAGGTAGATACGAAAACATTCCTCGCAATGAAAGGATATGTCACTTTTGTACAAGTAACTGCAGCAAAATCGAAGATGAAAATCATTTCTTACTAGATTGTAAGGCTTATTCTCAGATCAGAGACATATTTTTCTCCAAACTAGAAACTAAAATACCTGACTTCAAATCACTTTCACACGATACTTTAATATCTCTTCTTATGAATTCTTCTGATTATTTAATTAACTGTCAATTAGTTTCATTTATCTCGCAATGCTTTGAATTAAGAACCAAATTAATATCAATGAATGAATGAACGAGAACTGTAACGTTTTGTAATGTTTGGCACGTACTAATTAGTTGAATTAGTACTTAAATTTAGACTAATAGCTCAGTGCAATACTGTAATTCCTTTATGGTCATGCAAATAAAGCTTTTGGTGTTGTTGTTATTAAAAGTGACATAACCTTCGCGTTTTTCATTTATACGATCACTTTTGCTTGTTGCAGGAACGCTTGTAAAATGGCGTGAGATTAACATGCACATTCTCCATACTCATTCCTTTACCGTTCATCTGGCGCTAACGAGGAGAATTTGATTAGAAATCACAATGTTTTTCGTTGCTGAGCAGTTTCCTCTATTTTCAGCCTTTTATGATTGATACTGTTCACTGGTGGGATATATAGCGAGAATGTAAATTGATGTTGATCACTGTTAACCGTACAAAAACTGTTTCTTGTGATCACCGACTGAAAGCAAACGCACCGACGGACATTTCAAGTATTTCAATATTATACAAAACTTACAGCTAAAATCAAAATTGCCCGTCGGAAAAACGTGAAAGCGCTAAGTGCTTTTTTAAATGTACGAGTGGTCAGAAAGATACAAGAATCCTAATTAAAAAGAAGCTTTCGCAAAGCCGAGAAGGCTACAGTTTCCATTATGTTTGGTAAACTTTGGTTTGTTTTGGTTCTTGGACCTGTGGGACCTCAGGGACCTCTGGGCCGAAGGTTCATGATGTCATTATTTTCAACAGCCAATCAGGGGCAAGAATTTGATTTGCATATGAATAACATACCAAAAACCATTGAATTTGTAACCAAGCCGGGATAGCGCAATTGGCATAAGCATTGAATTGGTAATTAACTGGCAAACAAAGAGGTGACGGGTTCGAATCCCGCCTGATTAGCATAAAAAGGAAAAAAAAAGAATAAAATCGCGGCTTGGATCTGGGAGGGCTTGGGGCGAGGAGAGGGAAGAAAAAAAGGCCTTGGGAAGGGTATGGGAAGCGGGAGTTGGTGGTACACCGCCCGGGGGCGGGCCAGGGGGAGGGGGCAGGGAGGGGGGCAGGCGGGAGGGAAGTAGGTAGATAGGTAGAGGGGATAGATAGATAGATAGATAGATAGATAGATAGATAGATATAGATAGATAGATAGATAGATAGATAGATAGATAGATAGAGATAGGTAGAGGGGCAGGTAGGGGGGGGTAGGTAGATAGGTAGAGGGGGAGGGTTGGGAGGGGAAGGGAAGGGAAGGGAAGGGAAGGGGAGGGGGGGTCTAGCCTGCGAGCAAGGTCTCTTGCTGCCGGGATTGGGGGAGGGTTGGGTGGGGTGGGGCAGTGAGAGACCTTGCTCGCAGGTTAGACCCGGGAGGGTTTTGCTGCTCAGCAAAATTTTTTTTTCTTCTTACTTTTATAAAATTCTTGACTCAAAAAAGCACTTTTAGAAAAGGATGCATTCACGTAAGAAAAAAACGGGAAAAAAAGGACGTGTGCGAAGAAACAAGCGAAATTTATGATTAAACATTTGTCATTACTTAGGATCAACTTCTCCACACTTTTTCGCACATTCAACTTCGCGAGTTAGTCTACTTATAATACGTTCCTTTTCTTTAATGCAGTGGATAAACAGACCATGAAGTTCCAAACTGCTCTTCGTCTGAAGTTGGAGAATTTTCTTTATTGGTCATGGACCTTGGGGACATTTAACAGCCTGATTTTAAGACTGGATTGGAAATAGCTTGAATTACGTAACCTTGCCTGCGAAAGAAACACCACCTGATGGAATTACTAATCGTCAATAGGCCGGGCAAACAATGTTTGTTTGGTTCATCCTGTCAAGTGACTTTTGGGTCAAGTTGGAAACTGATGGAGATCTCCTGGAAATGTCCCTGGGACTCTTGTGATGTCTCAAGTAAGAGGATGTAAGTATATTTCATTCTGGAAAAAAAGTCTTTTAGCTGCCTTAGGACACGAAGGATATCACCTTGTTTTGATCCTTCAGGCTGATTTCACGATTCTATCACAAGTTTTCGGTCGCATCGGTAGCATTTTAGTATGATTTACCGTGCTTTCCAGATTCAGACTAGTGTTCTGTAGTTGCCTAGTTAGAGAAGAACGCTTTTTTTTTTTGTTGTCGAAGGGTCACACTGCTGGCTGCAAATCTATTAAATACGTCTCTTACTGGAATCAGACCCTTCAACAATCACAAAAACTCAGTTTTTATTGTACGATCAAAGACGACTATAGCCCCTCGCCGTACCTAGTTTTAACAAGAAAAAACGCTTCGAGAAAAGCATTAGTTAGATTTAGAACAAGTAGTCATCAACTTAGAATTGAAACAGGTAGATACGAAAACATTCCTCGCAATGAAAGGATATGTCACTTTTGTACAAGTAACAAAATCGAAGATGAAAATCATTTCTTACTAGATTGTAAGGCTTATTCTCAGATCAGAGACATATTTTCTCCAAACTAGAAACTAAAATACCTGACTTCAAATCACTTTCACACGATACTTTAATATCTCTTCTTATGAATTTTTCTGATTATTTAATTAACTGTCAATTAGTTTCATTTATCTCGCAATGCTTTGAATTAAGAACCAAATTAATATCAATGAATGAATGAATGAATGAATGAGAACTGTAACGTTTTGTAATGTTTTGCACGTACTAATTAGTTGAATTAGTACTTAAATTTAGACTAATAGCTTTTGCAATACTGTAATTCCTTTATGGTCATGCAAATAAAGCTTTTGGTGTTGTTGTTATTAAAAGTGACATAACCTTCGCGTTTTCATTTATAAGATCACTTTTGCTTGTTGCAGGAACGCTTGTAAATGGCGTGAGATTAACATGCACATTCTCCATACTCATTCCTTTACCGTTCATCTGGCGCTAACGAGGAGAATTTGATTAGAAATCACAATGTTTTTCGTTGCTGAGCAGTTTCCTCTATTTTCAGCCTTTTATGATTGATACTGTTCACTGGTGGGATATATAGCGAGAATGTAAATTGATGTTGATCACTTTTAACCGTACAAAAACTGTTTCTTGTGATCACCGACTGAAAGGAAACGCACCGACGGACATTTCAAGTATTTCAATATTATACAAAACTTCCAGCTAAAATCAAAATTGCCCGTCGGAAAAACGTGAAAGCGCTAAGTGCTTTTTTAAATGTACGAGTGGTCAGAAAGATACAAGAATCCTGATTAAAAAGAAACTTTCAAAAGCCGACAAGGCTACAGTTTCCATTATGTTTGGTAAACTTTGGTTTGTTTTGGTTCTTGGACCTGTGGGACCTCAGGGACCTCTGGGCCGAAGGTTCATGATGTCATTATTTTCAACAGCCAATCAGGGGCAAGAATTTGATTTGCATATGAATAACATACAAAAAAACCATTGAATTTGTAACCGAGCCGGGATAGCGCAATTGGCATAAGCATTGAATTGGTAATTAACTGGCAAACAAAGAGGTGACGGGTTCGAATCCCGCCTGATTAGCATAAAAAAGGAAAAAAAAAAGAATAAAATCGCGGCTTGGTTCTGGGAGGGCTTGGGGCGAGGAGAGGGAAGAAAAAAGGCCTTGGGAAGGGTATGGGAAGCGGGAGTTGGTACACCGGCCCGGGGGCGGGCCGGGAGGAGGGCAGGGAGAGGGGGGCAGGCGGGAGGGGGTAGGTAGATAGATAGAGGATAGATAGATAGATAGGATAGATAGGATAGATAGGATAGATAGGATAGATAGGATAGATAGGATAGATAGGATAGATAGGATAGATAGGATAGATAGGATAGATAGGTAGGTAGAGGGGGATAGGTAGATAGGTAGGGGCGGAGGGGGGAGGGGGGGAAGGGAAGGGAAGGGAAGGGGAAGGGAAGGGAAAGGGAGGGGGGTCTAGCCTGCGAGCAAGGTCTCTTGCTGCCGGGATTGGGGGAGGGTTGGGTGGGGTGGGGCAGTGAGAGACCTTGCTCGCAGGCTAGACCCGGGAGGGTTTTGCTGCTCAGCAAAATTTTTTTTTTCTTACTTTTATAAAATTCTTGACTCAAAATAAGCACTTTTAGAAAAGGATGCATTCACGTAAGAAAAAAGCGGGAAAAAAAACGACGTGTGCGAAGAAACAAGCGAAATTTATGATTAAACATTTGTCATTACTTAGGATCAACTTCTCCACACTTTTTCCCACATTCAACTTCGCGAGTTAGTCTACTTATAGTACGTTCCTTTTCTTTAATGCAGTGGATAAACAGACCATGAAGTTCCAAACGGCTCTTCGTCTGAAGTTGGAGAATTTTCTTTATTGGTCATTGACCTTGGGGACATTTAACAGCCTGATTTTAAGACTGGATTGGAAATAGCTTGAATTACGTAACCTTGCCTGCGAAAGAAACACGACCTGATGGAATTACTAATCGTCAATAGGCCGGGCAAACAATGTTTGTTTGGTTCATCTTGTCAAGTGACTTTGGGTCAAGTTGGAAACTGATGGAGATCTCCTGAAAATGTCCCTGGGACTCTTGTGATGTCTCAAGTAAGAGGATGTAAGTATATTTCATTCTGGAAAAAAGTCTTTTAGCTGCCTTAGGACACGAAGGATATCACCTTGTTTTGATCCTTCAGGCTGATTTCACGATTCTATCACAAGTTTTCGGTCGCATCGGTAGCATTTTAGTATGATTTACCGTGCTACTTGCAGATTTCCTATTGCAGTTATAAGGGTACCAGATTCAGACTAGGGTACTGTAGTTGCCTAGTTAGAGAAGAACGCTTTTTCTCGTTGTCGAAGGGTCACATTGCTGGCTCCAAATCTATTAAATACGTCTCTTACTGGAATCAGACCCTTCAACAATCACAAAAACGCAGTTTTTATTGTACAATCAAAGACGACTATAGCCCCTCGCCGTACCTAGCTTTAACAAGAAAAAACCCTTCGAGAAAAGCATTAGTTAGATTTAGAATAAGTAGTCATCAACTTAGAATTGAAACAGGTAGATACGAAAACATTCCTCGCAATGAAAGGATATGTCACTTTTGTACAAGTAACAAAAATCGAAGATGAAAATCATTTCTTACTAGATTGTAAGGCTTATTCTCAGATCAGAGACATATTTTTCTCCAAACTAGAAACTAAAATACCTGACTTCAAATCACTTTCACACGATACTTTAATATCTCTTCTTATGAATTCTTCTGATTATTTAATTAACTGTCAATTAGTTTCATCTATCTCGCAATGCTTTGAATTAAGAACCAAATTAATATCAATGAATGAATGAATGAATGAATGAGAACTGTAACGTTTTGTAATGTTTTGCACGTACTAATTAGTTGAATTAGTACTTAATTTTAGACTAATAGCTTTTGCAATACTGTAATTCCTTTATGGTCATGCAAATAAAGCTTTTGGTGTTGTTGTTATTAAAAGTGACATAACCTTCGCGTTTTCCATTTATAAGATCACTTTTGCTTGTTGCAGGAACACTTGTAAATGGCGTGAGATTAACATGCACATTCTCCATACTCATTCCTTTACCGTTCATCTGGCGCTAACGAGGAGAATTTGATTAGAAATCCCAACGTTTTTCGTTGCTGAGCAGTTTCCTCTATTTTCAGCCTTTTTCATGATTGATACCGTTCACTGGTGGGATATATAGCGAGAATGTAAATTGATGTTGATCACTTTTAACCGTACAAAAACTGTTTCTTGTGATCACCGACTGAAAGCAAACGCACCGACGAACATTTCAAGTATTTCAATATTATACAAAACTTACAGCTAAAATCAAAATTGCCCGTCGGAAAAACGTGAAAGCGCTAAGTGCTTTTTAAATGTACTAGTGGTCAGAAAGATACAAGAATCCTGATTAAAAAGAAGCTTTCAAAGCCGACAAGGCTACAGTTTCCATTATGTTTGGTAAACTTTGGTTTGTTTTGGTTCTTGGACCTGTGGGACCTCAGGGACCTCTGGGCCGAAGGTTCATGATGTCATTATTTTCAACAGCCAATCAGGGGCAAGAATTTGATTTGCATATGAATAACATACAAAAAACCATTGAATTTGTAACCGAGCCGGGATAGCGCAATTGGCATAAGCATTGAATTGGTAATTAACTGGCAAACAAAGAGGTGACGGGTTCGAATCCCGCCTGATTAGCATAAAAAGGAAAAAAAAAAAAAAAAATAAAATCGCGGCTTGGTTCTGGGAGGGCTTGGGGCGAGGAGAGGGGAAGAAAAAGGCCTTGGGAAGGGTATGGGAAGCGGGAGTTGGTACACCGGCCCGGGGCGGGCCGGGAGGAGGGCAGGGAGAGGGGGGGCAGGCGGGAGGGGGTAGGTAGATAGGTAGAGGGGTAGATAGATAGATAGATAGATAGATAGATAGATAGATAGATAGATAGATAGATAGATAGATAGATAGATAGATAGATAGATAGATAGATAGATAGGTAGATAGGTAGAGGGTAGGTAGGGGGGGGGGGTAGGGGGATAGGTAGAGGGTAGAGGGCGGAGGGGTGGGGGGGGGGAAGGGAAGGGAAGGGAAAGGGGGAAAGGGGGGTCTAGCCTGCGAGCAAGGTCTCTTGTGGCCGGGATTGGGGGAGGGTTGGGTGGGGTGGGGCAGTAAGAGACCTTGCTAGCAGGCTAGACCCGGGGAGGGTTTTGCTGCTCAGCACAATTTTTTTTCTTCTTACTTTTATAAAATTCTTGACTCAAAATAAGCACTTTTAGAAAAGGATGCATTCACGTAAGAAAAAAAACGGGAAAAAAGGACGTGTGCGAAGAAACAAGCGAAATTTATGATTAAACATTTGTCATTACTTAGGATCAACTTCTCCACACTTTTTTTTCCACATTCAACTTCGCGAGTTAGTCTACTTATAGTACGTTCCTTTTCTTTAATGCAGTGGATAAACAGACCATGAAGTTCCAAACTGCTCTTCGTCTGAAGTTGGAGAATTTTCTTTATTGGTCATTGACCTTGGGGACATTTAACAGCCTGATTTTAAGACTGGATTGGAAATAGCTTGAATTACGTAACCTTGCCTGCGAAAGAAACACGACCTGATGGAATTACTAATCGTCAATAGGCCGGGCAAACAATGTTTGTTTGGTTCATCTTGTCAAGTGACTTTTGGGTCAAGTTGGAAACTGATGGAGATCTCCTGGAAATGTCCCTGGGACTCTTGTGATGTCTCAAGTAAGAGGATGTAAGTATATTTCATTCTGGAAAAAAGTCTTTTAGCTGCCTTAGGACACGAAGGATATCACCTTGTTTTGATCCTTCAGGCTGATTTCACGATTCTATCACAAGTTTTCGGTCGCATCGGTAGCAGTTTAGTATGATTTACCGTGCTACTTGCAGATTTCCTATTGCAGTTATAAGGCTACCAGATTCAGACTAGGGTACTGTAGTTGCCTAGTTAGAGAAGAACGCTTTTTCTTGTTGTCGAAGGGTCACATTGCTGGCTCCAAATCTATTAAATACGTCTCTTACTGGAATCAGACCCTTCAACAATCACAAAAACGCAGTTTTTATTGTACAATCAAAGACGACTATAGCCCCTCGCCGTACCTAGCTTTAACAAGAAAAAACCCTTCGAGAAAAGCATTACTTAGATTTAGAATAAGTAGTCATCAACTTAGAATTGAAACAGGTAGATACGAAAACATTCCTCGCAATGAAAGGATATGTCACTTTTGTACAAGTAACAAAATCGAAGATGAAAATCATTTCTTACTAGATTGTAAGGCTTATTCTCAGATCAGAGACATATTTTTCTCCAAACTAGAAACTAAAATACCTGACTTCAAATCACTTTCACACGATACTTTAATATCTCTTCTTATGAATTCTTCTGATTATTTAATTAACTGTCAATTAGTTTCATCTATCTCGCAATGCTTTGAATTAAGAACCAAATTAATATCAATGAATGAATGAATGAATGAATGAATGAGAACTGTAACGTTTTGTAATGTTTTGCACGTACTAATTAGTTGAATTAGTACTTAATTTTAGACTAATAGCTTTTGCAATACTGTAATTCCTTTATGGTCACGCAAATAAAGCTTTTGGTGTTGTTGTTATTAAAAGTGACATAACCTTCGCGTTTTCCATTTATAAGATCACTTTTGCTTGTTGCAGGAACACTTGTAAATGGCGTGAGATTAACATGCACATTCTCCATACTCATTCCTTTACCGTTCATCTGGCGCTAACGAGGAGAATTTGATTAGAAATCCCAACGTTTTTCGTTGCTGAGCAGTTTCCTCTATTTTCAGCCTTTTATGATTGATACCGTTCACTGGTGGGATATATAGCGAGAATGTAAATTGATGTTGATCACTTTTAACCGTACAAAAACTGTTTCTTGTGATCACCGACTGAAAGCAAACGCACCGACGGACATTTCAAGTATTTCAATATTATACAAAACTTACAGCTAAAATCAAAATTGCCCGTCGGAAAAACGTGAAAGCGCTAAGTGCTTTTTAAATGTACTAGTGGTCAGAAAGATACAAGAATCCTGATTAAAAAGAAGCTTTCGCAAAGCCGACAAGGCTACAGTTTCCATTATGTTTGGTAAACTTTGGTTTGTTTTGGTTCTTGGACCTGTGGGACCTCAGGGACCTCTGGGCCGAAGGTTCATGATGTCATTATTTTCAACAGCCAATCAGGGGCAAGAATTTGATTTGCATATGAATAACATACAAAAAAAACCATTGAATTTGTAACCGAGCCGGGATAGCGCAATTGGCATAAGCATTGAATTGGTAATTAACTGGCAAACAAAGAGGTGACGGGTTCGAATCCCGCCTGATTAGCACAAAAAAGGAAAAAAAAAGAATAAAATCGCGGCTTGGTTCTGGGAGCGGCTTGGGGCGAGGAGAGGGAAGAAAAAAGGCCTTGGGAAGGGTATGGGAAGCGGGAGTTGGTACACCGGCCCGGGGGCGGGCCGGGAGGAGGGGGAGGGGGGGGGGGGCAGGCGGGAGGGGGGGGTAGGTAGATAGGTAGAGGGGTAGGTAGATAGATAGATAGATAGATAGATAGAGATAGATAGATAGATAGATAGATAGATAGATAGATAGGTAGATAGGTAGATAGGGTAGGTAGGGGGTAGGTAGGGGGGATAGGTAGATAGGTAGGGGGGGGGAGGGAAGGGAGGGGAAGGGAAGGGAAGGGAAGGAAAGGGAAGGGGAAAGGGAGGGGGGTCTAGCCTGCGAGCAAGGTCTCTTGCTGCCGGGATTGGGGGAGGGTTGGGTGGGGTGGGGCAGTGAGAGACCTTGCTCGCAGGCTAGACCCGGGGAGGGTTTTGCTGCTCAGCACAATTTTTTTTCTTCTTACTTTTATAAAATTCTTGACTCAAAATAAGCACTTTTAGAAAAGGATGCATTCACGTAAGAAAAAAAACGGGGAAAAAGGACGTGTGCGAAGAAACAAGCGAAATTTATGATTAAACATTTGTCATTACTTAGGATCAACTTCTCCACACTTTTTCCCACATTCAACTTCGCGAGTTAGTCTACTTATAGTACGTTCCTTTTCTTTAATGCAGTGGATAAACAGACCATGAAGTTCCAAACTGCTCTTCGTCTGAAGTTGGAGAATTTTCTTTATTGGTCATTGACCTTGGGGACATTTAACAGCCTGATTTTAAGACTGGATTGGAAATAGCTTGAATTACGTAACCTTGCCTGCGAAAAAACAACACGACCTGATGGAATTACTAATCGTCAATAGGCCGGGCAAACAATGTTTGTTTGGTTCATCTTGTCAAGTGACTTTTGGGTCAAGTTGGAAACTGATGGAGATCTCCTGGAAATGTCCCTGGGACTCTTGTGATGTCTCAAGTAAGAGGATGTAAGTATATTTCATTCTGGAAAAAAGTCTTTTAGCTGCCTTAGGACACGAAGGATATCACCTTGTTTTGATCCTTCAGGCTGATTTCACGATTCTATCACAAGTTTTCGGTCGCATCGGTAGCAGTTTAGTATGATTTACCGTGCTACTTGCAGATTTCCTATTGCAGTTATAAGGGTACCAGATTCAGACTAGGGTACTGTAGTTGCCTAGTTAGAGAAGAACGCTTTTTCTTGTTGTCGAAGGGTCACATTGCTGGCTCCAAATCTATTAAATACGTCTCTTACTGGAATCAGACCCTTCAACAATCACAAAAACGCAGTTTTTATTGTACAATCAAAGACGACTATAGCCCCTCGCCGTACCTAGCTTTAACAAGAAAAAACCCTTCGAGAAAAGCATTAGTTAGATTTAGAATAAGTAGTCATCAACTTAGAATTGAAACAGGTAGATACGAAAACATTCCTCGCAATGAAAGGATATGTCACTTTTGTACAAGTAACAAAATCGAAGATGAAAATCATTTCTTACTAGATTGTAAGGCTTATTCTCAGATCAGAGACATATTTTTCTCCAAACTAGAAACTAAAATACCTGACTTCAAATCACTTTCACACGATACTTTAATATCTCTTCTTATGAATTCTTCTGATTATTTAATTAACTGTCAATTAGTTTCATCTATCTCGCAATGCTTTGAATTAAGAACCAAATTAATATCAATGAATGAATGAATGAATGAATGAGAAACTGTAACGTTTTGTAATGTTTTGCACGTACTAATTAGTTGAATTAGTACTTAATTTTAGACTAATAGCTTTTGCAATACTGTAATTCCTTTATGGTCACGCAAATAAAGCTTTTGGTGTTGTTGTTATTAAAAAAAGTGACATAACCTTCGCGTTTTCCATTTATAAGATCACTTTTGCTTGTTGCAGGAACACTTGTAAATGGCGTGAGATTAACATGCACATTCTCCATACTCATTCCTTTACCGTTCATCTGGCGCTAACGAGGAGAATTTGATTAGAAGTCCCAACGTTTTTCGTTGCTGAGCAGTTTCCTCTATTTTCAGCCTTTTATGATTGATACCGTTTCACTGGTGGGATATATAGCGAGAATGAAAATTGATGTTGATCACTTTTAACCGTACAAAACTGTTTTCTTGTGATCACCGACTGAAAGCAAACGCACCGACGGACATTTCAAGTATTTCAATATTATACAAAACTTACAGCTAAAATCAAAATTGCCCGTCGGAAAAACGTGAAAGCGCTAAGTGCTTTTTTAAATGTACTAGTGGTCAGAAAGATACAAGAATCCTGATTAAAAAGAAGCTTTCGCAAAGCCGACAAGGCTACAGTTTCCATTATGTTTGGTAAACTTTGGTTTGTTTTGGTTCTTGGACCTGTGGGACCTCAGGGACCTCTGGGCCGAAGGTTCATGATGTCATTATTTTCAACAGCCAATCAGGGGCAAGAATTTGATTTGCATATGAATAACATACAAAAAAACCATTGAATTTGTAACCGAGCCGGGATAGCGCAATTGGCATAAGCATTGAATTGGTAATTAACTGGCAAACAAAGAGGTGACGGGTTCGAATCCCGCCTGATTAGCATAAAAAGGAAAAAAAAAAAGAATAAAATCGCGGCTTGGTTCTGGGAGGGCTTGGGGCGAGGAGAGGGAAGAAAAAGGCCTTGGGAAGGGTATGGGAAGCGGAGTTGGTACACCGGCCCGGGGGCGGGCCGGGAGGAGGGCAGGGAGGGGGGGGGGCAGGAGGGGGGGTAGGTAGATAGGGGGTAGGTAGGTAGATAGATAGATAGATAGATAGATAGATAGATAGATAGATAGATAGATAGATAGATAGATAGATAGATAGGTAGATAGGTAGATAGGTAGGTAGATAGGTATAGGTAGGGGGAGGTAGGGGGATAGGTAGATAGGGAGGGGGCGGAGGGGAAGGGGGGGGAAGGGAAGGAAAGGAAGGGAAGGGGAAAGGGAGGGGGGTCTAGCCTGCGAGCAAGGTCTCTTGCTGCCGGGATTGGGGGGAAGGTAGGGCGGGGTGGGGCAGTGAGAGACCTTGCTCGCAGGCTAGACCCGGGGAGGGTTTTGCTGCTCAGCACAATTTTTTTTTCTTACTTTTATAAAATTCTTGACTCAAAATAAGCACTTTTAGAAAAGGATGCATTCACGTAAGAAAAAAATGGGGAAAAAAGGACGTGTGCGAAGAAACAAGCGAAATTTATGATTAAACATTTGTCATTACTTAGGATCAACTTCTCCACACTTTTTCCCACATTCAGCTTCGCGAGTTAGTCTACTTATAGTACGTTCCTTTTCTTTAATGCAGTGGATAAACAGACCATGAAGTTCCAAACTGCTCTTCGTCTGAAGTTGGAGAATTTTCTTTATTGGTCATTGACCTTGGGGACATTTAACAGCCTGATTTTAAGACTGGATTGGAAATAGCTTGAATTACGTAACCTTGCCTTCGAAAGAAACACGACCTGATGGAATTACTAATCGTCAATAGGCCGGGCAAACAATGTTTGTTTGGTTCATCTTGTCAAGTGACTTTTGGGTCAAGTTGGAAACTGATGGAGATCTCCTGGAAATGTTCCTGGGACTCTTGTGATGTCTCAAGTAAGAGGATGTAAGTATATTTCATTCTGGAAAAAAGTCTTTTAGCTGCCTTAGGACACGAAGGATATCACCTTGTTTTGATCCTTCAGGCTGATTTCACGATTCTATCACAAGTTTTCGGTCGCATCGGTAGCAGTTTAGTATGATTTACCGTGCTACTTGCAGATTTCCTATTGCAGTTATAAGGGTACCAGATTCAGACTAGGGTACTGTAGTTGCCTAGTTAGAGAAGAACGCTTTTTCTTGTTGTCGAAGGGTCACATTGCTGGCTCCAAATCTATTAAATACCTCTCTTACTGGAATCAGACCCTTCAACAATCACAAAAACGCAGTTTTTATTGTACAATCAAAGACGACTATAGCCCCTCGCCGTACCTAGCTTTAACAAGAAAAAAGCCTTCGAGAAAAGCATTAGTTAGATTTAGAATAAGTAGTCATCAACTTAGAATTGAAACAGGTAGATACGAAAACATTCCTCGCAATGAAAGGATATGTCACTTTTGTACAAGTAACAAAATCGAAGATGAAAATCATTTCTTACTAGATTGTAAGGCTTATTCTCAGATCAGAGACATATTTTTCTCCAAACTAGAAACTAAAATACCTGACTTCAAATCACTTTCACACGATACTTTAATATCTCTTCTTATGAATTCTTCTGATTATTTAATTAACTGTCAATTAGTTCCATCTATCTCGCAATGCTTTGAATTAAGAGCCTAATTAATATCAATGAATGAATGAATGAATGAAAGAGAACTGTAACGTTTTGTAATGTTTTGCACGTACTAATTAGATGAATTAGTACTTAATTTTAGACTAATAGCTTTTGCAATACTGTAATTCCTTTATGGTCAGGCAAATAAAACTTTTGGTGTTGTTGTTATTAAAAGTGACATAACCTTCGCGTTTTTCATTTATAAGATCACTTTTGCTTGTTGCAGGAACACTTGTAAATGGCGTGAGATTAACATGCACATTCTCCATACTCATTCCTTTACCGTTCATCTGGCGCTAACGAGGAGAATTTGATTAGAAGTCCCAACGTTTTTCGTTGCTGAGCAGTTTCCTCTATTTTCAGCCTTTTATGATTGATACCGTTCACTGGTGGGATATATAGCGAGAATGTAAATTGATGTTGATCACTTTTAACCGTACAAAAACTGTTTCTTGTGATCACCGACTGAAAGCAAACGCACCGACGGACATTTCAAGTATTTCAATATTATACAAAACTTACAGCTAAAATCAAAATTGCCCGTCGGAAAAACGTGAAAGCGCTAAGTGCTTTTTAAATGTACTAGTGGTCAGAAAGATACAAGAATCCTGATTAAAAAGAAGCTTTCAAAAGCCGACAAGGCTACAGTTTCCATTATGTTTGGTAAACTTTGGTTTGTTTTGGTTCTTGGACCTGTGGGACCTCAGGGACCTCTGGGCCGAAGGTTCATGATGTCATTATTTTCAACACAATCAGGGGCAAGAATTTGATTTGCATATGAATAACATACAAAAAAACCATTGAATTTGTAACCGAGCCGGGATAGCGCAATTGGCATAAGCATTGAATTGGTAATTAACTGGCAAACAAAGAGGTGACGGGTTCGAATCCCGCCTGATTAGCATAAAAAGGAAAAAAAAATAAAATCGCGGCTTGGTTCTGGGAGGGCTTGGGGCGAGGAGAGGGAAGAAAAAAAGCCTTGGGAAGGGTATGGGAAGCGGGAGTTGGTACACCGGCCCGGGGGCGGGCCAGGAGGAGGGCAGGGAGAGGGGGGGCAGGGGAGGGGGGGTAGATAGGTAGATAGGTAGATAGATAGATAGATAGATAGATAGATAGATAGATAGATAGATAGATAGATAGATAGATAGATAGATAGATAGATAGATAGGTAGATAGATAGGTAGATAGGTAGATAGGTAGGTAGGGCGGAGGGGGGGAGGGGGAAGGGAAGGGAAGGGAAGGGAAGGGGAAAGGAAAGGGAGGGGGGTCTAGCCTGCGAGCAAGGTCTCTTGCTGCCGGGATTGGGGGGAGGGTTGGGTGGGGTGGGGCAGTGAGAGACCTTGCTCGCAGGCTAGACCCGGGGAGGGTTTTGCTGCTCAGCACAATTTTTTTTCTTCTTACTTTTATAAAATTCTTGACTCAAAATAAGCACTTTTAGTAAAGGATGCATTCACGAAAGAAAAAAACGGGGAAAAAAGGACGTGTGCGAAGAAACAAGCGAAATTTATGATTAAACATTTGTCATTACTTAGGATCAACTTCTCCACACTTTTTCCCACATTCAGCTTCCTGAGTTAGTCTACTTATAGGACGTTCCTTTTCTTTAATGCAGTGGATAAACAGACCATGAAGTTCCAAACTGCTCTTCGTCTGAAGTTGGAGAATTTTCTTTATTGGTCATTGACCTTGGGGACATTTAACAGCCTGATTTTAAGACTGGATTGGAAATAGCTTGAATTACGTAACCTTGCCTGCGAAAGAAACACGACCTGATGGAATTACTAATCGTCAATAGGCCGGGCAAACAATGTTTGTTTGGTTCATCTTGTCAAGTGACTTTTGGGTCAAGTTGGAAACTGATGGAGATCTCCTGGAAATGTCCCTGGGACTCTTGTGATGTCTCAAGTAAGAGGATGTAAGTATATTTCATTCTGGAAAAAAAGTCTTTTAGCTGCCTTAGGACACCAAGGATATCACCTTGTTTTGATCCTTCAGGCTGATTTCACGATTCTATCACAAGTTTTCGGTCGCATCGGTAGCAGTTTAGTATGATTTACCGTGCTACTTGCAGATTTCCTATTGCAGTTATAAGGGTACCAGATTCAGACTAGGGTACTGTAGTTGCCTAGTTAGAGAAGAACGCTTTTTCTTGTTGTCGAAGGGTCACATTGCTGGCTCCAAATCTATTAAATACGTCTCTTACTGGAATCAGACCCTTCAACAATCACAAAAACGCAGTTTTTATTGTGCAATCAAAGACGACTATAGCCCCTCGCCGTACCTAGCTTTAACAAGAAAAAACCCTTCGAGAAAAGCATTAGTTAGATTTAGAATAAGTAGTCATCAACTTAGAATTGAAACAGGTAGATACGAAAACATTCCTCGCAATGAAAGGATATGTCACTTTTGTACAAGTAACAAAATCGAAGATGAAAATCATTTCTTACTAGATTGTAAGGCTTATTCTCAGATCAGAGACATATTTTTCTCCAAACTAGAAACTAAAATACCTGACTTCAAATCACTTTCACACGATACTTTAATATCTCTTCTTATGAATTCTTCTGATTATTTAATTAACTGTCAATTAGTTTCATCTATCTCGCAATGCTTTGAATTAAGAACCAAATTAATATCAATCAATGAATGAATGAATGAATGAATGAGAACTGTAACGTTTTGTAATGTTTTGCACGTACTAATTAGTTGAACTAGTACTTAATTTTAGACTAATAGCTTTTGCAATACTGTAATTCCTTTATGGTCACGCAAATAAAGCTTTTGGTGTTGTTGTTTTTAAAAGTGACATAACCTTCGCGTTTTCCATTTATAAGATCACTTTTGCTTGTTGCAGGAACACTTGTAAATGGCGTGAGATTAACATGCACATTCTCCATACTCATTCCTTTACCGTTCATCTGGCGCTAACGAGGAGAATTTGATTAGAAGTCCCAACGTTTTTCGTTGCTGAGCAGTTTCCTCTATTTTCAGCCTTTTATGATTGATACCGTTCACTGGTGGGATATATAGCGAGAATGTAAATTGATGTTGATCACTTTTAACCGTACAAAAACTGTTTCTTGTGATCACCGACTGAAAGCAAACGCACCGACGGACATTTCAAGTATTTCAATATTATACAAAACTTACAGCTAAAATCAAAATTGCCCGTCGGAAAAACGTGAAAGCGCTAAGTGCTTTTTAAATGTACTAGTGGTCAGAAAGATACAAGAATCCTGATTAAAAAGAAGCTTTCAAAAGCCGACAAGGCTACAGTTTCCATTATGTTTGGTTTTGGTTTGTTTTGTTCTTGGACCTGACCTCAGGACGACCTTTGGGCCGAATTCAATGATGTCATTATTTTCAACAGTTAAAATTCAAGAATTTGATTTTTCATATGAAAACATTGTAAAAAACCATTGAATTTGTAACCGAGCCGGATACTCAATTGATAAGCAAGAATTTTTAACTGGAAACAAAGAGGTGACGGGTTCGAATCCCGCCTGATTAGCATAAAAAGGAAAAAAAAAAAGTGTCTTCGGCTTGGTTCTGGGAGGGCAGGGGCGAGGGAGGGAAGAAAAATGCCTTGGGAAGGGGGATCGGGAAGCGGATGGTCTTTCAACCTGTCCTAGTTAAGGAGAATGAACTTCAGGCAGGAGGGGGTAGTCCATAGGTAAAGGGGTAAAGGTTGAAAGCTAGTGTTAAGATGCAAAGATGCATAGGTAGAAGCAATAAAGGGGGGGTTGATGCCAGGGGGAAGAAAAGAGGGGTGGGAGGGGGAGGGGTGGGAAGGGTAAGGGGGAAGGGGAAGGGGAAAGGGAATATAAAATTTGCCTCTATATATTTGTCCATTGGGGGAGGTTGGGTTTGGGGCAAAGTTTCGCAGGCTAGACCCGGGAACAAATTTGCTTGCAGTTTTTTTCATTTATTTTATAAAATTTTGACTCAAAAAATAAGCAAATTTAGAAAAGGATGCATTTACACAAGAAAAAAACGTTCAAAAAAGGACGTCTTAGAAACAAATGAAATTTATGATTAAACATTTGTCATTAAGGATCAAATGTCTCCATTTGTTTTTCCCACATTCAAATATCGCAAATTTTAGTTTACTTATAGTACGTTTGTTTTCTTTAATGTAGTGGATAAACAGACCATGAAGTTCCAAACTGCTCTTCGTCTGAAGTTGGAGAATTTTCTTTATTGGTCATTGACCTTGGGGACATTTAACAGCCTGATTTTAAGACTGGATTGGAAATAGCTTGAATTACGTAACCTTGCCTGCGAAAGAAACACGACCTGATGGAATTACTAATCGTCAATAGGCCGGGCAAACAATGTTTGTTTGGTTCATCTTGTCAAGTGACTTTTGGGTCAAGTTGGAAACTGATGGAGATCTCCTGAAATGTCCCTGGGACTCTTGTGATGTCTCAAGTAAGAGGATGTAAGTATATTTCATTCTGGAAAAAAGTCTTTTAGCTGCCTTAGGACACGAAGGATATCACCTTGTTTTGATCCTTCAGGCTGATTTCACGATTCTATCACAAGTTTTCGGTCGCATCGGTAGCAGTTTAGTATGATTTACCGTGCTACTTGCAGATTTCCTATTGCAGTTATAAGGGTACCAGATTCAGACTAGGGTACTGTAGTTGCCTAGTTAGAGAAGAACGCTTTTTCTTGTTGTCGAAGGGTCACATTGCTGGCTCCAAATCTATTAAATACGTCTCTTACTGGAATCAGACCCTTCAACAATCACAAAAAAAACGCAGTTTTTATTGTACAATCAAAGACGACTATAGCCCCTCGCCGTACCTAGCTTTAACAAGAAAAAACCCTTCGAGAAAAGCATTAGTTAGATTTAGAATAAGTAGTCATCAACTTAGAATTGAAACAGGTAGATACGAAAACATTCCTCGCAATGAAAGGATATGTCACTTTTGTACAAGTAACAAAATCGAAGATGAAAATCATTTCTTACTAGATTGTAAGGCTTATTCTCAGATCAGAGACATATTTTTCTCCAAACTAGAAACTAAAATACCTGACTTCAAATCACTTTCACACGATACTTTAATATCTCTTCGTATGAATTCTTCTGATTATTTAATTAACTGTCAATTAGTTTCATCTATCTCGCAATGCTTTGAATTAAGAACCAAATTAATATCAATGAATGAATGAATGAATGAATGAATGAATGAATGAGAACTGTAACGTTTTGTAATGTTTTGCACGTACTAATTAGTTGAATTAGTACTTAATTTTAGACTAATAGCTTTTGCAATACTGTAATTCCTTTATGGTCAGGCAAATAAAGCTTTTGGTGTTGTTGTTATTAAAAGTGACATAACCTTCGCGTTTTCCATTTATAAGATCACTTTTGCTTGTTGCAGGAACACTTGTAAATGGCGTGAGATTAACATGCACATTCTCCATACTCATTCCTTTACCGTTCATCTGGCGCTAACGAGGAGAATTTGATTAGAAGTCCCAACGTTTTTCGTTGCTGAGCAGTTTCCTCTATTTTCAGCCTTTTATGATTGATACCGTTCACTGGTGGGATATATAGCGAGAATGTAAATTGATGTTGATCACTTTTAACCGTACAAAAACTGTTTCTTGTGATCACCGACTGAAAGCAAACGCACCGACGGACATTTCAAGTATTTCAATATTATACAAAACTTACAGCTAAAATCAAAATTGCCCGTCGGAAAAACGTGAAAGCGCTAAGTGCTTTTTTAAATGTACTAGTGGTCAGAAAGATACAAGAATCCTGATTAAAAAGAAGCTTTCGCAAAGCCGACAAGGCTACAGTTTCCATTATGTTTGGTAAACTTTGGTTTGTTTTGGTTCTTGGACCTGTGGGACCTCAGGGACCTCTGGGCCGAAGGTTCATGATGTCATTATTTTCAACAGCCAATCAGGGGCAAGAATTTGATTTGCATATGAATAACATACAAAAAAACCATTGAATTTGTAACCGAGCCGGGATAGCGCAATTGGCATAAGCATTGAATTGGTAATTAACTGGCAAACAAAGAGGTGACGGGTTCGAATCCCGCCTGATTAGCATAAAAAAGGAAAAAAAAAGAATAAAATCGCGGCTTGGTTCTGGGAGGGCTTGGGGCGAGGAGAGGGAAGAAAAAAGGCCTTGGGAAGGGTATGGGAAGCGGGAGTTGGTACACCGGCCCGGGGGCGGGCCGGGAGGAGGGCAGGGAGAGGGGGGCAGGCGGGAGGGGGGTAGGTAGATAGGTAGAGGGGTAGGTAGATAGGTAGATAGATAGATAGATAGATAGATAGATAGATAGATAGATAGATAGATAGATAGATAGATAGATAGATAGATAGGTAGATAGATAGATAGGTAGATAGGTAGATAGGTAGAGGGGTAGGTAGAGGGGGATAGGTAGATAGGTAGAGGGCGGAGGGGTGGGAGGGGGAAGGGAAGGGAAGGGAAGGGGAAAGGGAAGGGGAAAGGGAGGGGGGTCTAGCCTGCGAGCAAGGTCTCTTGCTGCCGGGATTGGGGGGAGGGTTGGGTGGGGTGGGGCAGTGAGAGACCTTGCTCGCAGGCTAGACCCGGGGAGGGTTTTGCTGCTCAGCACAATTTTTTTTCTTCTTACTTTTATAAAATTCTTGACTCAAAATAAGCACTTTTAGAAAAGGATGCATTCACGTAAGAAAAAAACGGGGAAAAAAGGACGTGTGCGAAGAAACAAGCGAAATTTATGATTAAACATTTGTCATTACTTAGGATCAACTTCTCCACACTTTTTCCCACATTCAGCTTCGCGAGTTAGTCTACTTATAGTACGTTCCTTTTCTTTAATGCAGTGGATAAACAGACCATGAAGTTCCAAACTGCTCTTCGTCTGAAGTTGGAGAATTTTCTTTATTGGTCATTGACCTTGGGGACATTTAACAGCCTGATTTTAAGACTGGATTGGAAATAGCTTGAATTACGTAACCTTGCCTGCGAAAGAAACACGACCTGATGGAATTACTAATCGTCAATAGGCCGGGCAAACAATGTTTGTTTGGTTCATCTTGTCAAGTGACTTTTGGGTCAAGTTGGAAACTGATGGAGATCTCCTGGAAATGTCCCTGGGACTCTTGTGATGTCTCAAGTAAGAGGATGTAAGTATATTTCATTCTGGAAAAAAGTCTTTTAGCTGCCTTAGGACACGAAGGATATCACCTTGTTTTGATCCTTCAGGCTGATTTCACGATTCTATCACAAGTTTTCGGTCGCATCGGTAGCAGTTTAGTATGATTTACCGTGCTACTTGCAGATTTCCTATTGCAGTTATAAGGGTACCAGATTCAGACTAGGGTACTGTAGTTGCCTAGTTAGAGAAGAACGCTTTTTCTTGTTGTCGAAGGGTCACATTGCTGGCTCCAAATCTATTAAATACGTCTCTTACTGGAATCAGACCCTTCAAAACAATCACAAAAACGCAGTTTTTATTGTACAATCAAAGACGACTATAGCCCCTCGCCGTACCTAGCTTTAACAAGAAAAAAAAACTTCGAGAAAAGCATTAGTTAGATTTAGAATAAGTAGTCATCAACTTAGAATTGAAACAGGTAGATACGAAAACATTCCTCGCAATGAAAGGATATGTCACTTTTGTACAAGTAACAAAATCGAAGATGAAAATCATTTCTTACTAGATTGTAAGGCTTATTCTCAGATCAGAGACATATTTTTCTCCAAACTAGAAACTAAAATACCTGACTTCAAATCACTTTCACACGATACTTTAATATCTCTTCTTATGAATTCTTCTGATTATTTAATTAACTGTCAATTAGTTTCATCTATCTCGCAATGCTTTGAATTAAGAACCAAATTAATATCAATGAATGAATGAATGAATGAATGAATGAGAACTGTAACGTTTTGTAATGTTTTGCACGTACTAATTAGTTGAATTAGTACTTAATTTTAGACTAATAGCTTTTGCAATACTGTAATTCCTTTATGGTCACGCAAATAAAGCTTTTGGTGTTGTTGTTATTAAAAGTGACATAACCTTCGCGTTTTCCATTTATAAGATCACTTTTGCTTGTTGCAGGAACACTTGTAAATGGCGTGAGATTAACATGCACATTCTCCATACTCATTCCTTTACCGTTCATCTGGCGCTAACGAGGAGAATTTGATTAGAAGTCCCAACGTTTTTCGTTGCTGAGCAGTTTCCTCTATTTTCAGCCTTTTATGATTGATACCGTTCACTGGTGGGATATATAGCGAGAATGTAAATTGATGTTGATCACTTTTAACCGTACAAAAACTGTTTCTTGTGATCACCGACTGAAAGCAAACGCACCGACGGACATTTCAAGTATTTCAATATTATACAAAACTTACAGCTAAAATCAAAATTGCCCGTCGGAAAAACGTGAAAGCGCTAAGTGCTTTTTTAAATGTACTAGTGGTCAGAAAGATACAAGAATCCTGATTAAAAAGAAGCTTTCGCAAAGCCGACAAGGCTACAGTTTCCATTATGTTTGGTAAACTTTGGTTTGTTTTGGTTCTTGGACCTGTGGGACCTCAGGGACCTCTGGGCCGAAGGTTCATGATGTCATTATTTTCAACAGCCAATCAGGGGCAAGAATTTGATTTGCATATGAATAACATACAAAAAAACCATTGAATTTGTAACCGAGCCGGGATAGCGCAATTGGCATAAGCATTGAATTGGTAATTAACTGGCAAACAAAGAGGTGACGGGTTCGAATCCCGCCTGATTAGCATAAAAAAGGAAAAAAAAAGAATAAAATCGCGGCTTGGTTCTGGGAGGGCTTGGGGCGAGGAGAGGGAAGAAAAAAGGCCTTGGGAAGGGTATGGGAAGCGGGAGTTGGTACACCGGCCCGGGGGCGGGCCGGGAGGAGGGCAGGGAGAGGGGGGCAGGCGGGAGGGGGGTAGGTAGATAGGTAGAGGGGTAGGTAGATAGGTAGATAGATAGATAGATAGATAGATAGATAGATAGATAGATAGATAGATAGATAGATAGATAGATAGATAGATAGATAGGTAGATAGGTAGATAGGTAGATAGGTAGAGGGGTAGGTAGAGGGGGATAGGTAGATAGGTAGAGGGCGGAGGGGTGGGAGGGGGAAGGGAAGGGAAGGGGAAAGGGAAGGGGAAAGGGAGGGGGGTCTAGCCTGCAAGCAAGGTCTCTTGCTGCCGGGATTGGGGGGAGGGTTGGGTGGGGTGGGGCAGTGAGAGACCTTGCTCGCAGGCTAGACCCGGGAAGGGTTTTGCTGCTCAGCACAATTTTTTTTCTTCTTACTTTTATAAAATTCTTGACTCAAAATAAGCACTTTTAGAAAAGGATGCATTCACGTAAGAAAAAAACGGGGAAAAAAGGACGTGTGCGAAGAAACAAGCGAAATTTATGATTAAACATTTGTCATTACTTAGGATCAACTTCTCCACACTTTTTCCCACATTCAGCTTCGCGAGTTAGTCTACTTATAGTACGTTCCTTTTCTTTAATGCAGTGGATAAACAGACCATGAAGTTCCAAACTGCTCTTCGTCTGAAGTTGGAGAATTTTCTTTATTGGTCATTGACCTTGGGGACATTTAACAGCCTGATTTTAAGACTGGATTGGAAATAGCTTGAATTACGTAACCTTGCCTGCGAAAGAAACACGACCTGATGGAATTACTAATCGTCAATAGGCCGGGCAAACAATGTTTGTTTGGTTCATCTTGTCAAGTGACTTTTGGGTCAAGTTGGAAACTGATGGAGATCTCCTGAAATGTCCCTGGGACTCTTGTGATGTCTCAAGTAAGAGGATGTAAGTATATTTCATTCTGGAAAAAAAGTCTTTTAGCTGCCTTAGGACACCAAGGATATCACCTTGTTTTGATCCTTCAGGCTGATTTCACGATTCTATCACAAGTTTTCGGTCGCATCGGTAGCAGTTTAGTATGATTTACCGTGCTACTTGCAGATTTCCTATTGCAGTTATAAGGGTACCAGATTCAGACTAGGGTACTGTAGTTGCCTAGTTAGAGAAGAACGCTTTTTCTTGTTGTCGAAGGGTCACATTGCTGGCTCCAAATCTATTAAATACGTCTCTTACTGGAATCAGACCCTTCAAAACAATCACAAAAACGCAGTTTTTATTGTACAATCAAAGACGACTATAGCCCCTCGCCGTACCTAGCTTTAACAAGAAAAAACCCTTCGAGAAAAGCATTAGTTAGATTTAGAATAAGTAGTCATCAACTTAGAATTGAAACAGGTAGATACGAAAACATTCCTCGCAATGAAAGGATATGTCACTTTTGTACAAGTAACAAAATCGAAGATGAAAATCATTTCTTACTAGATTGTAAGGCTTATTCTCAGATCAGAGACATATTTTTCTCCAAACTAGAAACTAAAATACCTGACTTCAAATCACTTTCACACGATACTTTAATATCTCTTCTTATGAATTCTTCTGATTATTTAATTAACTGTCAATTAGTTTCATCTATCTCGCAATGCTTTGAATTAAGAACCAAATTAATGTCAATGAATGAATGAATGAATGAATGAATGAGAACTGTAACGTTTTGTAATGTTTTGCACGTACTAATTAGTTGAATTAGTACTTAATTTTAGACTAATAGCTTTTGCAATACTGTAATTCCTTTATGGTCAGGGCAATAAAGCTTTTGGTGTTGTTGTTATTAAAAGTGACATAACCTTCGCGTTTTCCATTTATAAGATCACTTTTGCTTGTTGCAGGAACACTTGTAAATGGCGTGAGATTAACATGCACATTCTCCATACTCATTCCTTTACCGTTCATCTGGCGCTAACGAGGAGAATTTGATTAGAAGTCCCAACGTTTTTCGTTGCTGAGCAGTTTCCTCTATTTTCAGCCTTTTATGATTGATACCGTTCACTGGTGGGATATATAGCGAGAATGTAAATTGATGTTGATCACTTTTAACCGTACAAAAACTGTTTCTTGTGATCACCGACTGAAAGCAAACGCACCGACGGACATTTCAAGTATTTCAATATTATACAAAACTTACAGCTAAAATCAAAATTGCCCGTCGGAAAAACGTGAAAGCGCTAAGTGCTTTTTAAATGTACTAGTGGTCAGAAAGATACAAGAATCCTGATTAAAAAGAAGCTTTCGCAAAGCCGACAAGGCTACAGTTTCCATTATGTTTGGTAAACTTTGGTTTGTTTTGGTTCTTGGACCTGTGGGACCTCAGGGACCTCTGGGCCGAAGGTTCATGATGTCATTATTTTCAACAGCCAATCAGGGGCAAGAATTTGATTTGCATATGAATAACATACAAAAAAAACATTGAATTTGTAACCGAGCCGGGATAGCGCAATTGGCATAAGCATTGAATTGGTAATTAACTGGCAAACAAAGAGGTGACGGGTTCGAATCCCGCCTGATTAGCATAAAAAAGGAAAAAAAGAATAAAATCGCGGCTTGGTTCTGGGAGGGCTTGGGGCGAGGAGGGGAAGAAAAAGGCCTTGGGAAGGGTATGGGAAGTTGGTACACCGGCCCGGGGGCGGGCCTGGGAGGAGGGCAGGGAGGGGGGGGGCGGGGGGGGGGTAGGTAGATAGGTAGAGGGGTAGGTAGATAGATAGATAGATAGATAGATAGATAGATAGATAGATAGGTAGATAGGTAGATAGGGATAGGTAGGGGAGATAGGTAGATAGGTAGGGGGGGAAGGGGAAGGAGGGGGAAGGGAAGGGAGGGAAAGGGAAGGGAAGGGGGGGTTCTAGCCTGTGAGCAAGGTCTCTTGCTGCCGGGATTGGGGGAGGGTTGGGTGGGGTGGGGCAGTGAGAGACCTTGCTCGCAGGCTAGACCCGGGGAGGGTTTTGCTGCTCAGCACAATTTTTTTTTTTTCTTACTTTTATAAAATTCTTGACTCAAAATAAGCACTTTTAGAAAAGGATGCATTCACGTAAGAAAAAAACGGGAAAAAAAGGACGTGTGCGAAGAAACAAGCGAAATTTATGATTAAACATTTGTCATTACTTAGGATTAACTTCTCGACACTTTTTCCCACATTCAGCTTCGCGAGTTAGTCTACTTATAGTACGTTCCTTTTCTTTAATGCAGTGGATAAACAGACCATGAAGTTCCAAACTGCTCTTCGTCTGAAGTTGGAGAATTTTCTTTATTGGTCATTGACCTTGGGGACATTTAACAGCCTGATTTTAAGACTGGATTGGAAATAGCTTGAATTACGTAACCTTGCCTGCGAAAGAAACACGACCTGATGGAATTACTAATCGTCAATAGGCCGGGCAAACAATGTTTGTTTGGTTCATCTTGTCAAGTGACTTTTGGGTCAAGTTGGAAACTGATGGAGATCTCCTGGAAATGTCCCTGGGACTCTTGTGATGTCTCAAGTAAGAGGATGTAAGTATATTTCATTCTGGAAAAAAGTCTTTTAGCTGCCTTAGGACACGAAAGATATCACCTTGTTTTGATCCTTCAGGCTGATTTCACGATTCTATCACAAGTTTTCGGTCGCATCGGTAGCAGTTTAGTATGATTTACCGTGCTACTTGCAGATTTCCTATTGCAGTTATAAGGGTACCAGATTCAGACTAGGGTACTGTAGTTGCCTAGTTAGAGAAGAACGCTTTTTCTTGTTGTCGAAGGGTCACATTGCTGGCTCCAAATCTATTAAATACGTCTTAATTCGCTTCGAATGTTCAAACATTCCTTCTCGGCTGACAAACGGGTGTTTTCTTCTTGTAGTCGTAACGCAATTTCACTTTCCTTTATCTCTTGTTCAGCCGGAAGCCTTTTCACTGAGCCATTGTACACTTGACATTCCGTGCCGATAACTGACTCCCTCTTTTAGAACCCTTTTTCCTTGGGTGTAATTGACTTGGCGTCTTATCGCCGCCACTTGTATGATCTTGAGTCGCATTAGGTGTTTTCGTTTCCAACAAATCACTACGCGCGCCCGCACAGGAAACTGAAGGATTTGTATTCTGAGTTCCTTGAAAGGCACCCTCTAATCGTACAACGGGCGTTTTGGAGCTCAAATCAAACCCAGAAATATTCGCAATTCCTTCACCGTAAACTCCTCGACTTATTGGGGTGTAAACATCGTTTAACCATTCCTTGTATTTGCTTTCAAACATCTGCATTCGATAAACACCCTTGGCGTAGTCATGAGTAATACGCTCTCTATCCTCTTGCTCCCCAGACAAATGATACCACTGCGCACAAGCCCGTTTAAGCTTCTCGAATATGCTCACCAGCGAACTGTGCTTTTCAACAACTTCTTCAGAAGCAATTTGCTCCAAGAGTAGCGGGTCTAATTCATTTATAATCCGCGTAATGTGTCCACGGTAGGCTATAATCGTCCGTCCCAAGCTGTCTCTTTCACCAACCAAGATATCGTTAATGGTAATTTCAACTTGGAACTCCTTTGATCTGTCGCCAACCAGAGCGGCCAACTTTTACCAAAGTCGATCGTTAAGTACTGTGTAACCGAAGTCACGCGTATTAGTGTCCAACCGCTTTATTTTATAAATCACACTCCTACGGTACTGTACAACCAAAAATACAAATCAGTACAAAATAACAAATACATCAAAGAAAACGGAAAAGCGTACAAATGGCGTATGACTAAAATTTACCTTAACGGTTTCTTGACCTAACGTTAAAAGGAATGAGCTGTTCTTGACCGATAAAAATTGTAAAAAACACTGACCGACAAGACTAAGTTTATACCAAAAAACTTGACAGATTATGTAACATTACGCAACGATGGTGACACCAAAAAGAAAGTAAACAATATAACAAAAGAAAACTATAAACAATTACAACTAATTGCAAGTAGACGCGAACAAAAAAAAACAAAGAAAACCCTAAGTTCTAGAAGTTTGCTGAATTCTGCGGAATTAAACTATCAAGCCGATATAAACTCTTTGGACACTCTGAAGAAGATCGTTATACGTCTTCCTGTGCACATGCAGGCAAAATGGGCGGATGAGTCGGGGAAGATTTGGAAATGGGTTCTGAACCAACCTTCTCTCATTTGGCAGACTTTCTCGAAAAAGGGGCTCTAATAGCAAACACTGAGTTCGGGAAGTTAGTTGGATTCAAGCTTGGAGAGTCAAGAGTCACAAAACAACCAAGAAAAGCAGCTGATGGTGATGGTACTGTGCTTGCTTTGACTCAAGTTGAGAAGGATGTTAGTAACCAAGCCAATAAAGCCAACAGCAAACGCTCAAATCAGAGGTCAGCAACGGATGGTCAAGTCAAACGATATATTCAAAGGAAGGGCTTTGTTAGGAAACAAAATCTGTGTGAAAATTGTTTGAAGCCTAATCACATCGCTAGACGATGCAGGAGTCTTGATGCTTGCTTGCTGAGTGGCTGTAGAGAAAGGCACCATTCCTTGCTGCACCCACCTAATTCATTGAGCGCTCCCATAGCTTCAAATGAGACTTCAAGAACGCGAGGTGATTCTGAAGATCCTGTTACCGGGCCAACAGCGACTCGTGAAGATCTGCCTGAAGCAAGTCCACACCACATCGAGGCCGGGGCGGATTATGCGACAAATGCTAGAAAAAACAGAATTAGTTTGAGGATTGTGCCCGTCCGAGTTTCTGCTAAAGGTGGACGAGAAGTGGAGACATATGCTTTCATTGATGATGATTCTGACACCACCTTGTGTCTACGACGCCTTCTGGATGAGTTAGGAGTAAGAGGTTCTCCAACGTCATTTTCTTTAACTACCATTAATGCCGAGAGAACCAAACGGTCTGGAGAAGAAGTTAGTCTTACTGTGAGAGCGTTGTCGTCAGATGAATGCATACAACTAGATCGTGTGTGGACTGTTGACAAGTTACCTGTCTCAAAGAATAGCATAACCAGCACCGAAGATATCCGCGATTGGCCGCATCTGCAGGGTATAAGTATACCTAAGCTCGATAAAGAGGTATCCATCTTAATCGGCAATGATGTTCCCGAGGCGCACTGGGTCTTTGAATAGCGCCGTGGTCGCCGTAAACAGCCTTGCGCTGCCCGGACATTATTTGGTTGGACACTAATCGGACCAGTTGGCGGTTCAAGCAACCCTGAAGCGACCGTCAGTTTCTTAAGTGGAGGTCAAGAAACGCTGTCAGCACAAATTGAGCGAATGTACAACGCGGAGTTCGGCGAATCGTCTGCGTCATCTAAAGAAATGATGTCGATTGAAGATAGAAGAGCCCTGGCAATAATGGAACGAACCGTTCAGATGGTCGATGGCCATTATCAGCTCTCCCTTCCTTGGAAGTATGATAATCCGTGCCTACCGAATAACAGACCTATGGCCGAAAAAAGACTAAATCTTCTGAAAAGACGTTTGGAAAAAAACAAAGATCTCCAAGAGAAGTACAAGGATAATCTCGTCGGAGTACTACTTCGTTTTCGTCAAGAGCAAATAGGTCTTACGGCCGTCATAGAGAAGATGTTCCATCAAGTGAGAGTGTCTCCTCAAGACACTTGCGCTCTGTCATTTTTGTGGTGGCCTGGTGGCGATCTTTCTAAAGAAGCAGAAGACCATGAGATGCTTGTTCACCTCTTTGGAGCTAAATCATCTCCTAGCTGTGCAAGTTTTGCATTAAAGAAAACCGCAGAAGACAACAAAACGGACTTCGATGTGGAAACCATTGATACGGTTAATAGGAACTTCTACGTTGATGACTGTGTTAAATCGGTCGCAGCAACTGAAGAGGCGGTACGATTAGTTGAGCAGCTGCCAGAATTGTTGAGTAGGGGAGGCTTCCGCTTAACAAAGTGGATCAGTATTCGTCGAGAAATCTTGTCCTCAGTCGCTAAGGAAGACCTAGCACCGTCAGTGAAGAACCTTAACCTAGACTTGGAAGATCTACCGTTAGATCGCGCCCTTGGTATGCAGTGGGACACGGAAGAAGACACCTTTGGGTTTAGGACCATTCCGAATATTACAGCCAACTCAAGGAGAGAGATTCTTTCTGTCACCTCATCTCTATATGATCCTCTTGGCCTAGCAGCTCCAGTTATACTTCCAGCTAAGCGACTGCTTCAGAAGTTATGCGAAGACGAGCTTGGTTGGGATGACATAGTCCAAGAAGACGACCTTCTGCAGTGGCAAGATTGGACAAGGGGCATCATTGGTCTTACCGAAGTAGCCATACCACGTTGTGTGAAACCGAGAGATTTTGGCGAGCTCAGTTCCGTCCAGCTGCATCATTTCTCAAATGCCTCGGAAGAGGGATATGGGGCTGTCTCATACCTGCGCTTAACTGATGCACTTGGTAATATCGCCTGTAGCATCTTACTGGGAAAGGCAAGAGTTGCTCCACTGAAGAATGTGACAGTACCACGACTGGAGTTAACGGCTGCCACAGTCGCTGTAAAGCTTCACAAGCAGATCAAGGAAGAACTCACTTTGCCTATACAGGAAGTGACGTTTTGGACTGACTCTACTATTGTCTGTCAACAACAGTCACACAAGATTCCAGACATTCGTCTCCAACCGGCTGGCAACGATCCACGATATCTCTACTCCGTCTCAGTGGCGTCATGTTAGCTCTGATCTGAACCCAGCAGATTACGCGTCTCGTGGGTTTAATTCTCATGAACGTACCAAACTGAAGATTTGGCTCGAGGGACCAAGATTTTTGTTGAAGGACGAAAGCCAGTGGCCAAATCAGCCAACCCAGCTTCCTGAGATTGATGAAAATGACCAGAACGTCAGAAGATCGAACAAAGTCTAGGCGCATGCTGTTATGCAAGCTCAAGGATTTGACTCGTTGGTTTATCACTACTCTTTGTGGTATGGTTTGAGAAAGGCTCTAGCTTGGCTGAGCCGCTTCAAGAATTACTTGCTGTAACGCACAGGGAAGATTGCAAAGAAGACGTCAAAAGAGGAGAATTATCCGTCCGCGAAATCCAAAACGCTGAAGTGGAGGTCATTAAGTACATGCAAAGGCTGTTCTTTCCGAGGGAGTTGAATGCACTAATGACTGAAGCTCAGCAACGCCGTAGTATCTCTAGAGTGTCGGGGAAACGCCGACGGTGACGGTTCGTACGTCAGCCCACTGCGCAAACTCAATCCAATAGCTGTTAATGGGTTAATCAGAGTTGGTGGTCGTCTTAATAATGCAGAGGTTATCGGTTGTTTCATGAAGCATCCAATAGTTCTACCAACCAAGCATCACGTAACTGACATGATTATTCGCCATTATCATCAGATAGGCCATGTAGGATCAAGTCAAGTTCTTGCTGCAATTAGAAGGAAATTTTGGATTTTGAAAGGTGGTTCAGCCGTCAGACGAGTGGTCAGCAAGTGCATCAAGTGTAGAAGATGGAACTCAAAGCCGGAAGCACAGATTATGGCTCCGCTACCTATGGCTCGCGTCACGCCAGGAGATGCACCGTTCACCGCAGTTGGAATTGACTAGTTCGGACCAATGCCAGTCAAGTTGAAGAGAAGTCGAGTTAAACGATATGGGTGCATTTTCACCTGCCTAACAATGCGAGCAGTGCATATTGAGGTCTCTCAAGATTTGACGACTGACTCGTTTCTGATGGCGTTTTCAAGATTTGTCAGTAGGCGCGGTGCACCAACAGAAGTTTACAGCGATAATGGTACCAACTTTAAAGGAGCAGAATGTGAGTTGAAGAAATCTCTTAAAATGTGGAATCAATCACGCATCACAGAGAGTTTAGGCAAGCGCAGTATTCAATGGTACTTCAACCCCCCACAAGCAAGTCACCAAGGAGGGGTCTGGGAGAGAATGATTCGCACAGTTCGCAAGATAACAACAACAACAACAACAACAAATTTACATTACTAATTACATTACTTTCCCATCCGCAAATAGCTTACGAACTAATCGAGGCGGGGGGAGCTGAAGACATATTACAAAATTAAACAAGATTTATATATAGATGGACTAAATAACAGTGAAGACACTACAATACAGTAAATAGAATTTAAACTAACATAAAACGAGGCATGTACATAACGATTACGAAGAGAGGCTAACCTAAAGTATTAAATAACTTAATAAGACGGGAGACTTCGACATAATCATCTTCTGACCGCAAAAAATTTAGTAATGATTCCTTTATTTTTGTACGAAAGGACGAACGCTTTAGTATTTTAATCGAATACGGAATAGAGTTCCAAATTGGGGAACCGATTCTCGTGAAAAAGGCATACATTTTATCGGTTCTAGAGAACTTAACATAAAACGAGTCGCTAGAGACAGATCTTGTTCTGTAGTTATGAATCTGACTTTTTTTAACGAACTGATTGAGAATACTAACTGGTGTTGTCTGTCTGTTGATATCATACAATAAATAGCTACAATCTCTGAAAAATATGCTAGGCAGGGGAAGGCAATTTGATTTGAGAAAGAAGGGTACGGCGTGTTCCTTAGACTTACTGAAGTAGATGAGACGAAAGGCCCGTTTTTGTAGAGTTACGATCTTTCTTTGAAATGTCAAGGCACAATTTCCCCAACCACAAATACCATGAGTCAAGTAAGGGACAATTAATGAGTTGTAAACTGAAAGTAAAACACGACGCGGGACATAATGTCGAATCTTAGCTATAATTCCTATCGACTTGCTGATTTTGTGACAGATAGATTCGATGTGGTATTTCCATGAAAGATTTGAATCAATCATTAAAACTGCCAAAAAATATTTTTTACATAATCTTTCATTTCAAATATATAAAAATTCCAGGGTTTTTTTAAATACCTTATAAATCGGCGTAGGTGTTAAAAAACCGGTTTAAAATAGGTACAAAAATACGGAGTCAAAAATTCTAATCCTAGGTATGAAGGGCATATTCTTTTGCCGGGGACGAAAGATTACAAAATTTGATTTTTTATGTTCAAGGACAGTTTGTTGGCCTTTTTGAGCCATTTTTCGTTACCAAGCTCGGAGGGGAGAGGGGGGTATGTACACAGATTAACAAGTGTTTCGAGTTCCTTTAGGTTGTTATTTGCAAGTATTATACTAGTATCGTCAGCAAATAGATAAAAGGCAAATAACGAAGAGGACTTGTAAATATCATTGATGTACAGTAGGAATAAGAGTGGTCCGAGGACTGAGCCTTGTGGCACGCCGCACAAGGTCGTTTCAGCCTCAGACACAACATTATTAACTTTCGTAGTTTGCTTCCGATCAGTCAGGTATGATCTGAACCAGGAGTTGATTACACCTCTAATACCATAATTTTCAAGTTTAGCTAACAAAATTTCATGGTTAACATCAAAAGCCTTTTTGAGATCGATGAAAATACCGCACGAAAATTTACCGTTGTCCATGTTTTGGAGAATTGTGTTAACAATATCAAGTACAGCATGCTGGGTACTGTGCTTACTGCGAAAACCGTATTGCTGATCATAGAGAATGTTGCAATCTTTGACAAACTTGGTAACTCTGGAGTACATAAGTTTTTCAACAATCCTGTCATAAATCGAGAGCAGAGAAATAGGTCGGTAGTTTTCGGGCAGCGTGTCATCTTCGTCCTTAAATATCGGGATAATCTTAGCACACTTTAGTTTAGATGGAAAAATCCCTGAGCAAATAGACTGATTAAAAATCGTGGCTAGAAGTACGGATATGACCCTTTTTGCCAATTTCAGCAGCCTAACTGGAGATGAGTAAAGACCATGGGCCTTATTGTCTTGCAAAACTGAAATTTCTAAATTGATATCTTCCGGAATAGTAGGATCAAAGAAGAAAGTGCGATTAAGTGGCGGATCTAAATAATCATAGAATGTATTTATGGTCTGAGGAATTTTAGAAGCCAGTTTGCTCCCAACAGTGGGGAAATATTTGTTAAGAATATTGCTTATTTCCTTCGGGTCACTAGTTGGAACCTCATTCGGGTTTGAGCGAATAGAATTAGTTGAGTTGCGCTTGTTTTTCTTTTTACAGTTTCCAATTAGCTCGTTAATTCCTTTCCAAGTTTGACGCATATTACATATGTTGAGATCAAAGAAA